ACCCCTTGTACATGAACAAGTGCTCTCTCAGGAGCCTCCATTGGCCCCACTTCCTTCGACTGCCTCTTCACCAGATGACTCCACGGTACCAGATTCTTCTTCTTCCCTGTGCCTGAGGATTTTAAATTGTACCAGTGTGTCCTGAGGCATATGGCTTCTGCCTTGAGTATTCAGGCAGAATTTGTGCATGAGAATACACATAAGTTGTTGGCTATTCTCCAGTCCTCACTTCCGGGGAAGGTAGGTTTCTCAATAAATGAAGTTCTTTTGGAGCCTGTAAAGTCCTTATGGAATACCCCAGCTTCATTGCCTCTTACTGCAAAGTGGGCTGATAAATGATATTTTGTCCGTATGCAGGATTTTTTTTTCTATTCCCATCCAGCCCTAACTCTCTTGTTGCATTGGCAATAAATTATAGATCACAGCAGAGGAAGTACAAGTCCACGGCTAAGGACCTGGAGTCGAAAAGGCTGGATTTGATGGGAGAAAAATATTCTCAACCTAGTCGTTACAGGTGTGCATTGCAGATCATCAGGCACTGTTCTCTAAATACGACTTCATCAATTGGGATGCTATGTCCAAATTCACTGATAAATTGCCAGGATCCTCCAGGGAAGACTTTAAGGCAGTCATTGAGGAGGGCCATCTGGTAGCCAAAATATCATTGCAGTGAGCTCTGGACATGGAAGATGCTTCCTTCAGAATTATGGCATCAGCTATGACTACGAGACGGGCCTTGTGGTTCCAGAATTCCGGCATTGCTCTAGAGGTTCAGCAGAGCATAGAAGACTTGCCTTTTGATGGTTGGCTTTTGTTTTCTGAGAAAACTGGTGAGACTTTACGTCCTCTTAAGGACTCGTGTGCTACATTACGTTTGTTTGGAGCGGGGGTATAAATCTCCAAGGGATGTCATTACGGCGGTAAACAGAACTGCAGCAATACAGCTTGCAGCGGCTTTTCTGGTAGTCAGCCTTCCCTATTTTGTAGCAAGACTTCTCCAGGTAGGGTCATAGAGGAGGAGGCCTTCTGAGTCCAATTTTAACCAGTAAGCCCGCTCTCATCCAACGTTGAGCAAGCAGCCATTTTGAGCTGCACATCTAGGACACCATTCCAGTTGTGACCTCCCCATTCCCTCAGTTCACAGATAGGCTGTCTGACCTTTACAGTTCTTGGGACACAGTAACCATGGAAAAAAGGGTCCTCAACCACCATGAGATGGGGATATGCTATCCAATTACTGTCTATTCCCCACCCCTTCCCATGCCTCAACCCCATCGCTCTTTAGGGATCTTCCTCTGAACACAGGTTCAGATTCTATGTCCTTTGGGAGCTATAGAGAAGATTCCCCTGCAGCATCAGGGAAAAGGATTCTATTCCTGGTATTTCCTGGTCCTCAAGTCCTATATAGGAATGAGACCTATTCTTGATCTCTATAGTCTCAAAAAGTACAGCAAATACATGAAATTCGTCATGGTCACCCTAGCTTCTGTTCTTCCCGTATTGAATTACCACTGGTTTGCTGCCCTGGATCTTTGGGACATTTATTTCCATGTGATGACTTTTTTCCTGAGCCGCAGGAGGTTTCTGAGACTTGTTGTGGCAGGTCAGCACTATGAGTACACTGTGCTCCTCTTTGGCCTGTCCTCGGCTCCATGCATTTTTACCAAATGCATGGCTGTAGTGACAGCGTACCTCAGAAAAAGAGTAATTCATTCCTTTCCATACCTGGATGGTTGGTTAGTGAGGGGCAACTCCAGAGAAAAAGTCCTTGCATGTCCAGTTCACACTGTTATCTTGATCATCTGGGTCTGGTTTTGAACAAGGGAAAGTGAACAGTACTAACTCAAAAAAACCCAACCCTGAATTCATTAGGGCCCAACTAGACTCTGAGTTGAGGGCATTTCTACCAAACGAATGCTTTTGTTAGCTGTGTATGTGTCTCCGCTCTCACCCTTCAACTGTGATCCAGATGTTCCTGAAGTTAGGTCATATGGCCACGTGCACTTATCCAAGATTACGTGTTTGTCCTTTTCATGGTTGGTTGAAACTGATATATCTCCCAAATTGTTAGTAGTTGGACAGTTTGGTGCAGATACCATTGCCCATCCTGGGCATCCTAGAGTGGTGGACAGATCAGGTCAGTGTTTCCAAAGGTGTCCCCTTTGCTCATCATCATCCATCTGGGACCATAGTTGCTGATGCTTACACAGTATGTTGGGGGGCCCATATGGGGGATTAAAGGTTCAAGGTTTGTGGAGAGAGCAGGAAGTATTGCTTCATATCAATATCCTGGAGCTTTGAGCTGTTTACAATACATGCAGGGCATTTTGTGCAGATATCAAGGTCACAGTGATTCATGTACTCACGGACAACACCGCCACAATGTATTATGTGAACAAGCAGGGAGGTACCCGCTCCATCTGGTTTTGTCAGGTGGTGATAAAAGTTCTGGCGGTTCTGTATCGAAGACAATATCATTCCCACAGCAGCTCATTTACCAAGGTCCCAGAATCACTTAACTGATTATCTTGGCAGGAATTTCTCCCGGAATTTTGAGTGGTCTCTGAACAGCAATGTGCTGAGGTCCATTGACATGTTTGCAATGAAGGACAACTAGAAGTGACATACATTTTGCTATGGAGGGCTTCTCGGTCTGATGTGTTTCATTTGAACTGGAGATCAGTGCTGACGCATGTCGCCCTCCACACACCCTCCCCCAATATTGCAGTTGTTCCTCAGGTGATGCTCAAGCTGGGGATGTATCATGTCAGACTGATTGTCATTGCAGTGGCTTGTCTAAGACCATGCTTGTCAGTCTTTCTGTTCATCTGCCCATTCCTCTTCCTTGGTGTCCTGATCTACTGACTCAGTACCACAGTCAAATTTTGCATCCAGTACTGAACAGTCTGCACCCCACAGCATGGATGCTGATTGGTTAGATTAGAAGAGGAACACTGTTTCAAAGCTGTTTGACAGGTTTTCCTTAATAATAGGAAGTCCTCTACTAGGGCTTCCTATTCAGCTAAGTGCAAAAAGTTTTTTGATTTGATCCCTAGCCCGGGGAATTCAATCAATGCATGCCTGCATTCAGGACATTTTGGAGTACCTGTTACACCTTCAGTCTTCTGGTCTCTCACTTCATTGAGAGCCCACGTGGTGGTGATTTTGGTGTTTCGCCTTCCAGTCCAAGGGAAATCAGTTTTCTTGAAATCCATGGTAGTCAGATTTCTGAGTGGGATCATTAGTCTCTTTCCACTGGTGAAGAAAGTGATTCCTCAGTGGGGCCATAACACTGTGTTGGCTGTCCTCATCAGTCCTCCATTTAAGCCCTTAGCAACTCCTCTACCAAAACACAGTGTTTCTTGTGGAAATAACTTCCACAAGAAGAGTTACTGAGCTGTGAGCCCTAGTGGCAAACCCTCTGTATGCCAAGTTTTTCAAAGAAGGGGTGGCCTTGAGGGCTCACTCCAAGTTTTTCTCTAAAATGGTGTCACAATTTCATCTTAATCAGATAATATATTTAATTGTATTTTTTCCCAAGCCTCATTCAAATGCAGACCAACAGCATCTTCATTCCTTGGGTGTGAGACTATGCTTGGTGTTTTATTTTGAAAGAACTGAGCCTTTGTTGTTTCCTTTTCACATCAGCTGAAGGGTCAAGCATTCTCTGTACAAATGATTTCCAGGTGGATAACATCCTGTGTTACAGCGGTGAATGGGATAGCTTTGCCTTCACCTCCACAAAGTTTGAGTTCATTCGACAGGGGCCCAAGCATCTCAGTTGCATTTCTCGGTGACGTTTCAATATTGGACATTTTGGAGAGCTGCTAGAGGGTCTTCCATACATACATCTACCAAGCATTATGCTATTATGACTGCATCTAGATCAGGTGCAAATTTTGGAAAGGCAGTTCTGTGGTCGTTCTTCAAGTAGTCTCCAACCCCTTCCTAATGATATTGCTTATGAGTCACTTGAGCGGAATACACATCTGCAACCACTTGAAGAAAAGATGGTTACCTACCTGTACAGTAACTGTTCTTTGAGATGTGGAAGCAGATGTGTATTCCATGACCCACCCTCTCTCCTCTCTGCACTGGAGTCTCAATTCTTGATGTTCGGTGTGAAGGAACTCGGGGGGGTTTGGGGTGGCATTGACCTTTAATAGCCAGGGGAGGGGCTACCGGGCCAGAGGGCGCAAATGGTGCACCTACAGGTACTGATAAGCAAAGTTCTCTGGCTTTGATTCATGAGGTGCATGCACACCTGAGTGGAGTACACATCTGCACCCACATCTTGAAGAACAGCAGCTACTGTACAGGTAGATGACTGTTGTCTTTGGTTCTGGGGCACGATGATATAGCAAGGAATACTACAGCTATCTGTGGAATACACAAAGCACTAACAATTATTAATATGATGATGTTTACATGTACCTGAGATGGATAATATTTTTAGTTATGATTCTTTTAAAACAGTTACTTTAATTTTAACAATACCCAGAAATAACCCATTGCTGTGGATACAGTTCATTTCTCTTTTTCTATAAATTAAGATTTTTTTAAGGAGTGGAGTTAGGAAGAATTTAGTTCTCGTGTTATAATCTCATTACATTGGTACAAGTGCTGCTAATAACATCTAGTGGGGGGAATTGGAGATTATACTGACTTCTGTTGATTGCAGTAAGGGGTGAGTGTGCTGCTTGATACTTCACAACTGCATAATTCTACACCAGTAGTAGAATGATAATACCATATTTTTTCTAATGTTACTCAAAGTAAAAATAATTTTAAAAAGTACCCAGAGAACAGGAAACTGTTACCAGAATTGCAGCATAATTGCAGTATGCCTGTAACATATTTTACGCTGAATTACTGATATGCCTTCTCAGCATTAATTGTATTTTAACAGTTTTTGTCTGGGAGTTATAACCATGACTACTGTTTTGTATTTCCTCTTTTTTTGTACACATCCTCTCTTTCTCTCTCTCCCCCCCTTCCAGTCACCCGACAGGAGGATCCTTTATCCGCCCAAACAAGGCAAATTTTGGTGTGGATTTTCTTACTGCAGTAAAGAACCGCTATGGATTGAATGATGAGCAAGATGTTGAGTGTGAGAAAGAGAATGCTTTAGTCATTGGAAAGAAGACTGTGGAACTTGTTGGTTTTGACTCTATTATAGAACAACAAAGGCAAGTGTCATTTATATATGGGTTTTTAGATGGGGTAAGATCCAAGTTACCCGGGAAGGAATTTTCTGTAGTATCTGGCTGATGAATCTTGCCCATATGCTCAGGGTTTAGCTGATCGCCATATTTGGGGTCGGGAAGGAATTTTCCTCCAGGGCAGATTGGAAGGCCCTGGAGGTTTTTCGCCTTCCTCTGTAGCATGGGGCACGGGTCACTTGCTGGAGGATTCTCTGCTCCTTGAGGTCTTCAAACTACAATTTGAGGACTTCAATAGCACAGATATAGATGTGAGGTCTTTTTTAGGAGTGGTGGGTGAAATTCTGTGGCCTGCATTGTGCAGGAGGTCAGACTAGATGATCATAATGGTCCCTTCTGGCCTAAATATCTATGAATCTATGAATCTATGAATATGTAAATCTGAGTTATATTATGGAGATATTTATATTGACGCCATAGTTAAGGCTGAGTTGAGTTTTGTCCTTTAAATCAGGAATTCAGCTTCTTTGTTATATATGAAAACTTGTGTAGCTTCCTCAAAAATAAAACACTTACTCTGAGTGCAGATTTTTTTTTCCTGAGAATTTACAAATGAATCTGTTAATTAGTTTAGGAATTAAAATTAATTAAAATGTGTCCTTTTAAGATATATAGCACCTCATGTCAGACATTTTTTGCCTTTAAAAGTCTCACTAACAGTATAACACAGACTCATCAAACTTTCCAAAAAGTTAAAACTCACTGAAGTCTTATGCATAGGCTACATTTGAATAATTTGTAAGATTAATGTTTTCCTCCTGTAATTTTTCATAACTGAAAATTTAATCCAGTCTGGATCCACAAACACTATTGTGTTGAGTTAAGGTTTCTGCCAAAGGAGAAACTTTCCATTATGGAGAAAACATGCGGGGGGGGGGAAGAATGATAGTTAAACCTGGGAATAATAATCCACATTTAGCTTTGTGCACAAAATTTTAGGGAGTTTTTACTATTTGGGAAGTTGAAAGGTCTCTGACAGTGCAAACAGTTAAGATTAGATTGGGTGCCCTAATTGTGTATTTCCATAGTTTAACATGTTTGGGGATGGGGGTTAAGTTTAACCTTAACTGTGAATTTTCTGGGTTGAGAACACTTGGTTTGGGATAATTGCAGCATGTCTGTAACATATTTTACGCTGAATTACTGATATGCCTTCTCAGCATTAACTGTATTTTAACAGTTTTTGTCTGGGAGTTATAACCATGATTCTGTATTAAATATTCACAGACTCTGGGGATTGGTTGACTTGAGCCCGTAGCATAGCTTTTGGGCATATGTTTTTTAAAAACTTATGAGAGTAACCTTTTCATTAAACATTTATATCTCTTGTTTTTTGCTGGACCTTTTTCTGTGGGGGGTTAAACATTTGTCTAGAATTGTGAACTCAAACTCAACAACATTATGCTAGAGCGTATAAAAACCAGAAAGTGAAATGATCTGGAGACAGAAGCTGAAACTCATTAGTTTCACTGTTCCAGTTGAATTAAATGCCCCAAACCCTCATGATGAACAGTAAATCAGATTTGTAAAGCTCTTCATGTTTAGTTAATACAAGATGTAGTAACACAGGTGAGGAATTTCTTTTAATGGCTATCTTGACAATGTTACTTTTTAAAACTATGCATCCAAAACATCTTTCACCCTAACATCTTTACTATATGCAAGTATTATGCATCTCTTGCCAGTAGCCTTATGCAGGCTGGCAAAAGTAAAGAACATTATGTTTAATATTGCAATTATTTGTTTGTTATATAAATTGGGCCATAATTACTCTAAAAGCTTTTTGATATATAAAGGTGTAACTCTTTCAATTTTTAGTGCTCCTCTCCTATGCATGTTTCAGAGGAACAGCCGTGTTAGTCTGTATTCGCAAAAAGAAAAGGAGTACTTGTGGCACCTTAGAGACTAACCAATTTATTTGAGCATGAGCTTTCGTGAGCTACAGCTCACTTCATCAGATGTTTACCGTGGAAACTGCAGCAGACTTTATATACACACAGAGAATATGAAACAATACCTCCTCCCACCCCACTGTCCTGCTGGTAATAGCTTATCTTGATTATGTAAAGAGTTGTCACTTTGGATGGGCTAGCACCAGCAGGAGAGTGAATTTGTGTGGGGGAGTGGAGGGTGAGAAAACCTGGATTTGTGCTGGAAATGGCCCACCTGTTGATCATTTTAGATAAGCTATTACCAGCAGGACAGTGGGGTGGGAGGAGGTATTGTTTCATATTCTCTGTGTGTATATAAAGTCTGCTGCAGTTTCCACGGTAAACATCTGATGAAGTGAGCTGTAGCTCACGAAAGCTCATGCTCAAATAAATTGGTTAGTCTCTAAGGTGCCACAAGTACTCCTTTTCTTTTTTCTCCTATGCATGTGTAATGAGTTATATTTTGCTTCCGATGGAGAATATGTACCTTAATTGGTGAGGTTTTAGTTCATATTAGTATACCACCTCAAGCTGTGATCTTGTCAGATCTTGGTTGGGAGATATCCAAGAAACTTATTAATATAGCACCACAATTTGCATTACGTTTTATAGACTAATCAGACATGATCCCAGTTCCTAGGTGCTCACAGTCTGACTTCACACAATAAGAGGTAATGACAGCAATTTGAGGGCTAAAGTAAGGGAATGTAGTTTATCATGAGATTAGCATTTGTCATACACATTAATGGGTTCCTTTTAAAATTCATGTTAATGTTCTATGATTGTTGTATGGTGTATGATTTGTTAGTGTTTTAATGTCGGTATCAACTCAGCTCAGTGGTGACTATGTTCTGTGAATAAAAAAGTCAAGGGTTGAAAGCCCACAGTACCAGTAATGAGGAATTGTCTTCACCTATTCTAAGTGGCTCTCATTCTTCTATCTGGGAAAGAAGAGGAGGAGGAAATTAGTTATTTGTTGATAATTGGTGTGGTGTATGGAATGGGCTGCACATATGCTGGTGTCTCCATGGAGCTCCTGCAGCAGTTGGGTGGTCTTGATTCAGTAGATGGCACTCTTCTCCTGTAAGCTGATACTGAATCAATTCGCCCCCTCCCACAAATGTCATTAGAGGCTACTGAACAGTTGAAAATACCATTTTTTTTTCAGAAGAGACTTAAAACCAAAGGTACTGATAATTTATAATTAAGATTCCTATAGCACTTTTTGTAAGAGCCTGGATGTTCCAAATTACATTACTAAATTTTACATACTTGAATTACTCTGTGTGGTTTAAATCTGATAGGATCATTTTCTTTGCTGCTTTTACAAATTGTTCTGTAAAGTTGCTGAGGGGTATTACATGGGAGCATTTCTGTGATTTAGATGAAGATGATACCACTATCTGGTAATATAGTGTTTGTATAGTAATAATTGTAAAAAGAATGTAAAATGCATAGTGTTTAGATTTAATATCTGGGTGCTTTTATACAATATATAATCTGTTCTGTTTTTCTCTGTTTGTATATAAATTAACATTCAGTATTTTTTTCATGTAGTCAACTGAACAAATTGGTAGACATCTCAGTGAGCGAATGTGCAGTGAGCCATGCTGGTCAGAAAGAGGAAATCAGCAGAACGTGTCCTAGTATCCTTTTCTAAAAGTGTTTTATTATGTGCTACTATTTACATAAATCAAACACATGCTTTAAGCATTCCAGGTGTATCTGCAGACATTAAGGGATTACATTTACATATTTTTCAAATCAGTTTAGTTCATTTTTATTAAATTTAGGAGCTTTATTCAGTCTGTCCTCTAACGATAAATGCTTTTGAATGGTAGAAATTCCATAATAATGGGCACAAGTAGTTGTAATTAAGATACATTAGAGCTCAAAGATATCTCATCATGGAATAGAATTCATGGAAAATTCCAATTCTATAGTATGAGACAATATATTAATGTAATGTTTAGGAAAAGTTTTGTAAATGGGTTACAATAATTCATGGATTAGGGACCCAATCTTATGGGGTTGCAGGGGCTTCTGCATAGATTCTTTAGGTTAATTTTTCTATCTACCCTAAGGGACTCAGTGCTCAGTCTAGAAGATACCATCAGAGTTGCTTAGTTCTGCAGTTCTCAAACTGTGGATTTGTGTCTCCAGAGATAATATGCTTGTTAACAGCAAAAACATTTTAAAATAAATAAATAATATATAAAAGTGAGAAATAACAGACCTCAACCCTATTGTCCCTCTGCAAATTTGTGTACACAGAGTCAATCCCTTACCTTTCTCTAAAAGTGCAAAGTTTCAAAAAGTGCAATGAATAGAAGATTGTTGGGAGTGGAACAGATCTGGACAAGGAGAAGTAGTCTGGAGATAAATGTGAGAAGGGAGGGGCAGGCAGTAGAAACAAAAGTGAAACTGTTTGAGCAGCACATTCCAGAAGTCTTGAGGTCTTTCTGAGTGTAGCCTTCATTGATTTGAGATCTACCATACCATTCTCTCGCTAGAAGGGAAAACCTATAATGGCAGCAGGCTGTAAAAGAGACCCAGTTTGGGAATATTTTAATGAAGTTCCTCTACCTGTGGGTAAGACAGGCATGTGTGCAAAATGCAAACAGTGCAACAAAGAAATGTAAGGCCTGGTTGCCTGAATGAAACAACATCATGAGAAATGTTCCTTCTCAGGAGGAAGCTGCATTGAAGATGATGAAAGGAACATGTCTGAACAGGCAGGATCTTCGGGTTGGTAAACTATTTTTTATTTCATACTCCTTTCTTAAGGACTGCCTGTCTTCCTTCTGGACTATTCTTGAATTCTCATGTTTGAGCAAAAAATATACAGCTGCATTTTAGTTGCAGTTGTGATAAAAAATAGCTGAAATAGGCAGATAATCCTTTTACAATTTCACCTCTAAAGTAGTACTGAGTGTCGGTGAATGCAATGAGTAATACTAAATGAGCAGTATGGTAATAATAATTAAATAACTGCATTGACTTATTTTGTTTAGGAGAATCCATTGTCAACATACAGGATTCTGAAGACTATCAAACTTCAAGATCACCATCATTTTCTATAGTTTCAGAGTTACCTGCCAGTGAGAGTGTTTCAGTCACATCATGTATGTCACATAGCCACAGTATATCATCTGTGGCAAAAAGGAAAAAAAATCTCTATCAACCATAGATAAGTTTGTGATAAGAACCAGCAGATTATAAAAAGAGGTAATTGATTGAAAAAATTACCCCGTTTGTTTATACAATAAGCTCTCCTTTCCGTACAATTGAGAACCCACACTTCATTAACATGGTTCAGTCATTAAGACCAGGATACAGTCCACCCAACAGAGCAGGTGTCACAGGCAAATTGCTGGATAAAGTGTGTAAAAGAGAAATTGAGCAGTGTGCAAAAGGTCTAGAGGGTGAAATTGTTAACCTGAATCTTGATGGATGGAGATTTGTCCACAATAATCCTGTTGTTTGTGCTTGTGTAACAACAGAAGGGAATGTCTTCCTTACAGAAACAATTGATACATCAGGAAATGTGCATGCAGCACAATACTTGGAAGAAGTAGCAGTAAAAGCTATAACAAACTTGGGAAAAAATATTCAAATGTCTGGTACGCAGGTTGGTCACAGACACTGCTGCAAATATATCAAAGATGAGAAGAAATTTAGAAGAGAGTCCCAAGCTACTAACATATGGTTGCAGTGCTCATTTGATGCACCTCCTAGCTAAAGACTTCAGTGTTCCAGAAATAAAAGCTAATGTTGAAATTGCAAAATACTTCTGTAACAACCACTTTGCAGCAGTTAGCTAACTGTCCCACAAGACATGCGATGGAACTCCGTAGTGGACTGTTTTGAGCACTACATCAAGAACTGGCCTAATCTGATGACAGTTTGGCTGTGACAGTGCCTTTTCTTTTTATACGATTTTGTTCACAAAGGTCTCAACATTGGGCTTAAGAGAAATGTTGAACACCTGCTGGGTACCCTGAAGCCTACTTCTGTAGCCTGGACCAAAATGCAGGGAAGTAGCTGTTTTATTGCTGATGCTGTTGAAATTTGAAAGGAATTGAGTGAGTTCTTAAAAAGAGAAATATACAGTGACAGAGTTCAGTTACAAGCATTTTAAAAAACGACTGGGACAAGCACTATCTCCAGCTCATTTTCTTGCAAATATTCTCGATACTCTGTATCAGAGTCAAACCTTAACTGCTGAAGAAGAGGAGCTGGCTATGACATGGACATCCAGCAATCATCCCTCCATAATGCCAACTGTGATAAACTTCAGAGCTAAGGGTGAACCATTCAAGAAATATATGTTTGCTGATGATATTTTAAAGAAAGTCACACCAGTGAACTGGTGGAAGTCCCTTAAACAATCGGATTCAGAGACTGTTGAAATGATGATCTCACTTTTAACAACAGTAGCTTCTTCTGCTGGCGTAGAAAGAATATTTTCTTCCTTTGGACTAATTCATTCCAAACTGAGAAATCATTTGGGACCTGAAAAAGCAGGCAAGCTTGTTTTTCTTTTCCAGATTATGAACAAACAGGAAAATGAAGGTGAAGACAACTGAGTTAGCTGCAGAAGCCAATATTTTAAGTTTCTCATGTTGACCTGGCTAACATTGTCTATTTTAATTCTTGGGATTTAAAAAAAAAAAAAAATCATTAACTATTTGCTAAAAACAATTTTAACAAAAACAACCCTGATTTTAAAATATTTGAATGTTTAACTAAATTCAAAAATTCATATGCTTGTTTTGTTAAAATATTATGTTTGCTGTTGAAGAAAAAAATCCAGAATACATAACGTTGTTGTTTTATTTAAATAAAACAATTTAAATGTCTGACTGGTGATGTCCTCCTTCTAATCCAGCATGGCAAGAAACTCCTCCAAATATTCATGATTAACCTGTTGAATTGGAGGTAGTTCAACTCCCAATAACTTCATAAATATCTGCTTCAATTACCTTTGGTAATTGAAATAACCAAACAATCATTCATTTTCTGATGTAAAACTAATGTGAAAAGCTTTCAGAATAAATCACTTAAAACATGTATAGTGTGTACCTTCTAAAAATGAAACCTACTTTTATCTCTGAGTTGTGAAGAATATGTATTAAGGTTATAACAACCAACAAGAACACGCTTTTATGTAGAAATCCATGATTAAATAGTCTTCCTGACTAGTGATTTTAATCGTGATTTAAATCAAATCTACCCTGGTAACTACCATCTTTTATCAGAAGCGCTGCATTGGTGGTAGCAAAGAAAAAATTTAGTGTAGATACGGCCATAAAAATTGCTGCTGTTACTGGAGAAGCACTTTATTCATGGGCATCAGTGGCTGTGAATATGTAATCAGTAATAATACATTCCATTTCTTACATTTTGTGGTTATGTTTCCAAAATACATAGCAAGAATTGTACACCGTGTTACTAAATGAACAAATAAGAATTATATATTCTTTACTCTAGACATAAACACTCTTCTGGACCTGTAGAACTGAGTTGTTTTATAAGTCTTAATGTACTATTTCTGTAACAGATTCCAGGATACAAACTAGGAGTAACTGAGCAGTAGTATCTGTTAGCTTAGACAGACTTACTCTGCTATATTTTGGTTCAAGAACACAATAGTTGTAAAGTTATACCTCCGTTCTCTGAAAAAAGTTCAGAATTCTGATACATTTTTCTTAAAGTGAATTCTCAGATATCAGGAGTATAAATCTATCAAAAAATCTTTTGCCATCCTGGGAGAAAGTAACAGATATTGCTTGTCAAGTTCAGAATCTGGAAAGTCTTGATCTCAGGTGTATATATATGAATATATTTTTTTCATTTCATAATTGTTCCAAATTGTTTTGTTTTTTTATTTTTTATTAGGTATCTAGTCTTTTTCTGCATGTGCGATACCTTCCAATAGTGTGTCACATCAAGGAAAGAATAGATTCCCAAGGATGTTTGACTGTGTGAAACCAAATTCTCCAAAAGTGTTTAGGGTAGACATTTTTGTCTTGTCTATATGTCTTAAAGCTTTAAAGGAATACTATATACTAGAAAATCACAATTCTGACTCAAAAATGAGTATTTATATTATTGTTACAAATGACAATAAGACTGCTGTGGTTGAAAGAAACTCCTAAGGCTGTTGTGATTGCTTCTATTTTTTTGGTTGTTTACTTCCTGTGTTTGACAGTTCCTTATGTATAATCAATTTAATCATTTTCTAGTATATACTTGGCAAGGGGAAAATTGACTAATAAATTCCTTGTAAACATCAACAGGGGGCTGAAAAACCCTTAAAAAGGTTTATAGAAAAGCTATTTTTAAAATATTCAGAAAAATACTGTTTAAAGGGTGCTCTCTTAGAAACTAGACTTAAAAAAATCAAGTTGGTAGTATCCCTTTGACTCAGAATGGGAAGGTGGGCACTATGGAATTTCACAGTGAAAAACATTAAACCACCTTACTGCAATTAAGGTGACAGTTGCAAGCCTTTTGGATGTACACTCTCATCCTCACTGAGGGAGCTCATTTGGCAGCTACTAAGACTAGCTAATTTTATTAATTATCTATTTTCATTGTTGTTTTTCCAGACCTATTTTTCCTTGTATTCTAAAGTTGATAACTTAAAGAGTTTTCTCTTTTAATGTAGGAATGCTTTAAAACAAACTTGTTTTCCTTTTGTTGAATTGTTTTTAGCGTCTTGGGATTCTATCTCCTGGTGCTGCTTATTCCCCCCCCCCCCGCCCCATTGTCCCAGTACGCTTTTGTTCAAGAGTCTGATTTTTATCTAGAGCATCATGTTTTATTCAGAATGTTCATCTTTCACCAAACTGAAGTATCCCAAATGCTTCAGGGGCACTGCCTTGATTTCTCTGGGACCCAGTCCACACCTGACCTGAAAGAATGCTAGTGGATCACAGTGACAAACCTGCTGGGAAATATCTATGACAATATTGATGTGTTTGCACATTCCTACTACGCACATTAAACCCCCCACCCTTAGGGGAGAAGAGTAGAGGCAGCTAAGTGGGAGCTGAGATCTCACTTTTATATGGGTATTCAGGCCTGCCTAATTGTTAGGCAGAGAAATGAGATGGACGGGGAATTGAAGGTAGGGGACTTCAATGCTCTGTGGGCAATCTAATTTTTGTATTTGTAATTTTGGCAGAGGAAACTGGAGCCTTGGAGATGTGCTCCTTTTTATATTTTGTATGAGTCTAGTAGTATTTTTCAGGTACAGTAGAACCTCGGAGTTATGAAAACCTCGGATATGGAGGTTGTTTGTAACTCTGAACAAAACATTATGATCTTTCAAAAGTTTACAACTGCACACTGACTTAATACAGCTTTGAAACTTATTATGCAGAAGAAAAATGCTGCTTTTAACCATCTTAATTTTAATGAAACAAGCACAGAAACAGTTTCCTTACCTTGTCAAATCTTTTTTAAACTTTCCCTTTTTAAAATAGTTTACATTTAACACAGTACGGTACTGTATTTGCTTTTTTTTTTTGTCTCTGTTGCTGCATCATTGCGGACTTCTGGTTCCAAATGAGACATGCGGTTGACCAGTTAGTTTATAACTAGTTGCACCATGGGTGGCAGGTATAATAGGCAGGAGAAGGCTGCTGCCGGACCCCCGGTTGCAGGGTTTGGTGGGGGAAGTTTTTGCTTTTATTATTGCCCAGGCAGGTTGCAAGGCAGCTGAGAGGCAGTATGTGCTATTCAGCTTCCTGGGTTCATCAGTAATCTACCTGGGCTCCAGTGAGATTACTGATGAACCCAGGAAGCTGAGTAGTAAATACCACCTCCTCAGCAGCCCCTGAACCTGCATGGGATATGTCAAAAGCTTCAGGAAGACGCTTTTCCCTGAGGTGGCTTGGGGGGAGGTGGGGAAGGCATGGCATGACCACGACTGGTCTGGGGCACCTTCAGGCAGGTGTGCAGGGGCCCTCGGGGCACCTCCAGGCAGGGTGTCTTGGGGCTTTGGCCACGGGGAGGGGGGCAGAACCGGGGGCTAGCCTGTCCAAAGGGAGGCTCCAGCTGCCACCCATGAGTAATACACGCATGCTGATTGTTGAAGAGGCTGAGACTGGAGTTTTCACTGAGGAACCTACTCTCAGGAGAACAACTTCTGATGGGGCTCCATTTTTTCCATAATTTCATGGCCAAGGAATTTGCAATAGAATTATGTTGTGAAATCTTAACTTTTATTTAAATAAATAGGGCAACCCCCTGACACAAACTCTAAGAAAACCTCCAAATGTGAACTGATACATTGTGGTCTTCCTGAGTTTGTAAGCAGACAGCTTGAAACCATAACTCATAGACAAACTTCTCCGTTCATCAGCATGGAGTATATTAACTCAAACATGTTTAAATATTAACATTAACACTTTGAAAGCTGATCCTTTTTAAGTAGAAATATTCAGCTAATGTTACCCATCATTGTTGGAAGAAATAGCAAAATATTAGGATAAGGGACAGTATGGCTGCTGGTTATTGTCATGGTTTCCACATTTGGGGAATTAGGAGTGCAGGTTCCCTTACTCCCCAATTAAGTTGCCTCTTCCCCTATCCCATAAGGGTAGGGAAAGACAAGATGCACTCCCCCAGTACCAAAAGACTCCTGGGTACCAAAAATCTTCCATACCTTTCTCTGTGTCAAAAGTCACAGTTGTCCCCATAGTAGCGTCCAAGGGCTCCATGGTCAATTTCTACAATGTAGTTGTGTCAATACAAAAACCTGAGGCAAACTGAAATTTGACGGTGACATACAATAAACTGAATTTAATATCAAAATAAAAAAGGAATGGTTTACTGACTGTATTCCTTCTCCTACTTAGTTCAGTTTAAAAAAAGACCCCAACTTTTAAATTGAAGCTATTGGAGATTTTCCATTTGTTCGCAGAATTCAGCGCCAGAATGCTGCCAAAATGAAGTTGCTGCAGGATTTAGGCCCAGTTTGCTGCAGGGTATACAGGGCCTTGACTAGTATCAGTAGGAAAAATAAGATAATTATTTTTAATTACTCTGATATAAAGTTTTAATCCTTGAGTGTTTAAAATTTGTAATCCAGATTTATAGTGTGTTTTTTGGAGTTATGATTCAAATGGATTGTATAAAAATGGTGCTTATGACACAAACAGAATTTTTGGATTTATTTGTCCCTTTTGTCAGAAGTTGTCAATTTTTTTTAAAAAAGGTTGGAAGTAGATACACAACTGTAGTAAAAACAATTCTGGTGCGGGGAGGGTGAGAGTAGATGAAAACTGGGGAAGCCCCTGCTATCAAATCTCTAAATGCTTGTCTACATGGGGAGATTTACCTGCATATCTATACTGCTGTACTGACATAGCTCTTCTGGTAATTTTCCCTCTGTATGCAAGCCCAGAGGAAAGAAATGCTTGGAGGGAAATAGGACCTAGAGTTAGTTTAAGGACACTATGGCACCATGAATAAGCTCTTTAATGTCAGCATTTTTCTGTGGCTCTGAGTCCTTAAAATCCTTATTTTATCAATGTTCTGGCATTTATGCATACTATTTAGTTCTAATTTTTTTTAAAAAAATTAGTTTATTAAGGCAAAGTTAAAATAAAACCTTAGCATACTACACTGAACGTTACTTATTAGTTATTCAGGATGCAAAACTATGTTCTGAAGTGTCCCTAGCCTCTGTTTGCCAGAAGCTGGGAATGGATGACGGGTTGGATCACTTGATAATTAGTTGTTCTGTTTATTCCCTCTGAAGCATCACGCATTGGCCATTGTTGGAAGACAGGATACTGGGCTATATGGACCAGTGGTCTGACCCAGTATGGCCGTGCTTATGTTCTTACAAGGTATTGAAAGAACCTGGCTAAAGATTCTGGATTGCTGATAGGGGAGTCCTCCTGTTCTGAGTATGCTAAAAAGGGTGGCTAAGTTTCTAAATACCTATCCTCTTTTTGGTGCTTCTCTTGTGTACATATCTGGTGTGAAAGCTTTCCCATTACAAGAAGAGCCCATATTCTATTATACCGCTATTTCATAGGAGCAGGAGTTGCATTTTTCCAATAGTGTACAATACAAAGTCTAGCTGCTAACAATAAAAAAGACATTTTTAACAAAATGACAAATTAATGTAGATTCTTTACTGGAGCATTAAGTGGGGTAGGTCTGGTAATCTCTATGACATTTTGTCATAAGATGAATCTCTTTAAGAATTTCCTGCTGCAACCCTCATTTTAATCTGTTTCCTAAGATACAGTGTCAAGGGTGATAGGCCCAACATTTGATTTGTCACTTTTATTTCTGGTAACAAATAATTCCCTTTTCCCACCTTAATGCTTCGGTGCTTAAACTAACCCCTTCAGCTTCAGTACTTTAACTAAATTGCAAGGAATTCAGTACTTTAACTAATTGCAAGGAAAGAATTTGCACTCAAACTACCAAGGCATTTTTCTAAATAGGTTGGAAAATATTTAAATATACAAAGTCCTTGACAATGTGCCTCTCTAATCCTATGTGTTCCTTTTTGTTTTGAAATATGAAATTCTAAATTGGTGATTTAGTTTTATGCTGTAGAAATAAGAACCTGTTTATTCTTTTTATACAGTGAAAACAAGATGAAATTTCCATCTGCTTCTATAACCTGTACACTTAGTAAATTGAGGGTTCTGGCACTTAATCGAACTGGAGTAACATGGGCAGAGGTAATGAGCTTCTTACATTTATGAAGTAAATTGTTTTTATTTGTTAGTCATTTGGTTACATGGGTCAGTAAAAACATAATAAGGGCTTACACTTAGTGTAAGGGTGTTACACTAGATCATATAATCTTCCAAAACTGAGTCTGATCTATATTAGAGAAAAGATGCACCGGTATAATTAAATCAGTCTAAAATTCTTGTTACACTGGCATGAAACCCTGATGCGGACGCACTTAAACCAGGTTAAATTGGTAACTTGGTAAATTACTGAATTAAATAGGTTTAGTTTATCTGAAGTTTAACCTGGTTCTAATGTGTCTGCATTAGGGGTGTGTGTTTGTGCAAACTGATTTTCAGTTTGTTATACTGGTGCAACTTTTCTAATATAGATCAGAACACTGACTTTTTTAAAGTTATTTTTATGTGACTGACCCACTTTGATATAACCATACTGAGATTCTTTATGAAATGTGGTTCTGGCATCACTTTGTATAGTAGGTGTTTTAATATGCTTGTATTTATAAAGGAGCAGACAAACATCTGGTAGTATAGAGCCTATTTCTATGAACTCAGATACAACATAGGAAAATGAAAGTCTGAGTTGTTTCCATGCATGGAAACGTGCAAATTGCTTTTCCTGTTAGTTACCCTCGTCTTACACCTTGTGTACACTAGGAAGATGACCTGTTGCTGCCGAGGGGTATCAGCAGTGGGCGTTTTCCCTAGCATAAGCCTGGCCTAAAAGTGACAGATTAAATTGTCAACCTGCCTTTATCAGAAATAATACTGTGCATTAGATCCCATCCAGGACTAAAATAAAATCTTGAGGTTTCTAGGCTAAGCCAATTTGGCATAGTTCCACTGAAAATAGTGGAGATTTTTCAGAGCCCGATATCTTAGAAAAAGCCTTGTTTGGCTAACCTTAGAGTTTTCCCAAGTTCTTGATTTTGTAAACCAAACATGAAAATCCAAATGGAAAATGGTGGTTCACAGAATGGGGGAAGATGGGTGACACTATCCTGAAGTTACAATTTAAATGGCAATGTTGTCGGTTCCCCTGCAGCCTTTTCTTTTTGAAATATGGATTCCAGTCCAGTAACAGTGAATCCTGTAGCTGTGTGGAATCCTAGTGACTACCATCTATCTGTACTAGCAGATGAGATACAGGATCAGAGGTATAGTTACTATTAAATAGGAAGGGTTACTGAAATAAAATACGAAAGCTTATGCTCAAATATATTTGTTAGTCACGAAAGCTTATGCTCAGATAAATTTGTTAGTCTCTAAGGTGCCACAAGTCCTCCTTTTCTTTTTGCGGATACAGACTAACATGGCTGCTACTCTGAAACCTGAAATAAACAGTATTCCAGATAGCTTATTTTAGATAGTTATGGCATACTTTGAATGTGTTTTAAGTAAAATTTATATGATGCACAGATTCTGGCATATATACAGTTATACTACTAATACTAAATGAAGTTTTCCTATTAGGTTCTTCTGTGTGCTCCAGGGTGGCCAGCACTTGAAGAATTGTACCTTGCTTCCAATGATATTACAGTTTTAGAAAGGTATGAGGCTTAGCTTTAAATGCTAAAGTCATCCTTTTGTGATTAATATCCTGTATGCATAAAGTTATATGACATGTCTGATAAAAATTAAACTAAATTCCAGTTGTGGGTTAAATTACCATTACCATGGTAATCTTGCAAAGGAGATTTTAACATACTGTGTGATCTGGGACACTTGTGTGTGAACACACTGATTTTATTATACAGTTGTGTGTATATGAATGTAAATATTTTAAAACAATTTAAAAACATAATTGCATTTTTTGTAATGCTTACAGACCCATTAACGTTCTACAGACCTTGAAATTGTTAGACCTTTCAAACAACCAATTAATTGATGGAAGTCAACTGCAGCTAATAGCATATCTTCCCAGGTAATTGTTAAAGAACTTTTACTGTAAATTTTGTCATGCTCTGTAAATTGATTCGTTCACATATGCTTAGTGGTTTGAAGCATGATAATATTGCCTTGGTAGTGAAGGTTACAGAATTTTGAAAATTAAGGTTTTTTTGCTCTTTTGTGAAGAGTATCTGAACTATTTAACATAATCTGGGGAAGGATTTAATTTTATTTTAAGATTTAATTAAAGCATGTTTTTATTAAGATATTTATGGAATTAGTGTGTGTGTTTTTTTTTTTTTACACAACAGTTTGAAGTTCAGATATTGCAATTATAGAGCCATATCCTAGAGAAAACCCTTTTCAGGGCAACTAGCTCTTAGAACCTGTATGGGCTTCCTATGATAAGGAGCTTTGGAGATTGCTCCTGATTTAGGGGGGCAATTCTTTGGTAGTGGATACATAATGCCAGTTGTTATTAAATGCATTAAATAACTGCATATGACCTTCCTCCCTTCCTATATGTCCATCTGATTCTGGGAAATGAGGTTGGGCAACACACTGAATGGATTACTATTCTAATTGGGATGCAGTCAATCAGAGAAGATTTTTATAGGTGGCCATGTAGCCAAGAATGTTTAATTGGCTGGCAGCTCTTGTCTTTTAGCCATGGACATGAAAGGATCCCACAAGATTTTTCCTCTCTTCTCTCCTTCCTTCTAAAAAAAAAAAGTGATTAGAGTGCGATGGAGGCAGAGCCTCACTTTTAATCCCTACGATCGCACGGAAGAAGGTACTTCCACCCACCTCCTGCTCCTTTCCCAGTTAACACTAGGACGATGGCTAGACTACAGAGCCTATGTCAGCATAGCTATGCTGGCATAACCCCCTAGTGTAGATGTAGTTTACACCAACAGAAGGAGTTTTTCTGCTGGTGTAGGAACACCATCTGCGCGAATGACATTACCTATGCCAACAGACGCCCTCTTCTGTCAGCATAGCTGCTTCTACAACAGGGATTTTGTCAGCATAGCTGTGTCAGTCAGGGGCGTGGTTTTTCATCCTGCAGTAGCTATGCCAATACAAGTTTTAAGTATAGACCAAGCCGAAGAGTTTGTCCACACTGGGGTATTTACCAACATACCTACACTAGTATAATTATTTGCTGCTGCTGTTCCTTGTGTGGATGTTGTCTTTGTGAATTTAAAGTGCCTTTTTTTTGGTTTAGGTTATCTTTTGTAGCGATAACATCTTGTTCCATAGATTCCTGCACAGCAGCATCTTGGTAGTTACAGTGCTGAGCTGGTGTGAAATGCCACTTTGCACTTGGGTATATGATTTAGGAAAAAGACTGTTTTCTTTCTACTCAACTTCATCTACTTCTGTGTCCATTCAAATATGTGGAACCTGATAAATGATAAGTTGCAAAGTTACTTAAACTCTTATACCAAAAATAAGGCCCATAAGGGAAGGGAGCAGTAAACTATTTTAAAGAAAAAATCAAGCCATTCTGAAGATTAGTACCTCCAAAGCAAGCTGCCATTTTGAAAGCTTGGAACTCCACTGCTGTCCTTCTGTAAACTGCCTTTTAAACTTGGTTACCAGCTGTGAAGTTGGTAACAATGTTCTTTAAATCACAAGGCTTGCTGTCAAAAAGTTAACATGGGTTGTATCACATAAAAACTTTAGTATTTTTACTAAAATCTTTCTAACAGACATACTTTAACTTCTAAATTTCAGATTAGAACAACTAATTCTTTCAAACACTGGAATTTCTTCTATACGCTTTCCTGATGTTGGATTTGGTAAGTAAAGTAAGCACTGTATTATATTTCTATATTTAGATCTTCACTGATGTCTTTTAAATTTATTCTCCTTTTCCTAGGATGCAAGACTAAAATGTTTCCGTTATTACAACGTCTTGCAGTAGATGACAATAAAATATTGCAAGTAAGAAAGGTTTTTGGTGACTTTCACATTACTTTAATTTTTTGTTTAACAAGAATTTGTAAAATTGCTTTTTCATTTTCTCTGATTATGTATTATGTATTGGGGAAAAAGCCTATGTCAAATTCTTTGACAAACATCTAGCTTTAGTTAGATTTTTAAAAAGCTTTTCAAAACTCAGCTTTACCAGAGAGGATTGATTTGTTTGTTTGTTTATTTATTTATTAAATACATTGCAGAGAACTCTGTTTCTGGCCTTTAGCCATTCCCATGCAATGAATGGAACCCAAACACTTCAGCATTCTTCTAGTGCTTGAGTACCTGAAAGTTAAATTGATAGACCTATAGAGTTTCACTGTTTTGTGCTTCAGTGAATTGCAAAAAGTAAACAAACAAATGGTGAAAAATTTATATTGGATTTGAAAATGGTTTTTCAGTGTTAATAGTCCACGGCGGTGATATTAGAAATAGATATAACTGGTGAAGGGAAAAACAGAATTTTATCTAGACAATGTCCCGTCTGTGCTCTGGAAGAAAACATAAAATCATCACTGATAAAGTTTGCAGATGACCCGGAAATGGTAAATAACGAAGAGGACAGGTCACTGATTCGAGCGGTCTGGATTGCTTGGTAAACTGGGTGCAAGCAAATAATATGCGTTTTAATACAGCTAAATGTAAATGTGTACATCTAGGAACAAAGGATGTAGGCTATACTTATGTGATGGGGGCCTCTATCCTGGGAAGTAGTGACTTTGAAAAAGATTAGGGGTCACGGTAGATAATCAGCTGAATATATAAGCTCCTAGTGTGGTGCTGTGGCCAAAAAAGCTAATAGGATGCTTGGATGCACAAACGGGACTTTTGATTATGAGTAGAGAAGTTATTTTACTTCTGTTTGGCACTGGTGCAACTACTGCTGCTATACTGTGTCCAGTTCTGGTGCCTACAATTCAAGTAGGATGTTGAGGAATTGGAGGGGTTCAGGAACAGCCATGAGAATGATTAAAGGATTAAAAACTATGCCTGTGATAGACTCAAAGAGCTGAATCTAAGTAGCTTAACAAAGGGAAGGCTAAGGGGTGACATGATTAGTCTATAAGAATTGACATGGGGAACAAATATTTAATAATGGACTCTTCAGTCTAGCAGAGAAACATAACACAACCCAATGGCTGGAAGTTGAAGCTAGACTAATTCAGACTGAAAGTAAGGTGTTCATTTTTTTACTGAGGGTAATTAGCCATTGGAACAATTTACTAAGGGTCATGGTGGATTCTCCATCACTGACCATTTTAAAATCAAGATTGGATTTTTTTTCTAAAAGATCTGCTCTAGGAATTATTTTGAGGAAGTTCTGTGTTATACAGATGGTCGGATGAGATGATTGCAATGGTCCCTTCTCTCCTTGGAATCCATGACTTGTCTAGTATAGTGTAGGTCTTTCCCACGGTGTCTGACTTGTCATATGGGAGGACTGTGAGATAGATGAATTTACCATTTCTGCAGAATAGCTCTGTGATACTGTCCATTTGTTTGAAGTACGAGCCTGAATCATGATTCTCCCAGTTAGGAGTGCCACATACTATTACTCAGTCATTGAACAATTTCAATTTGAAGCTGGGACAAGAAGTTAAAAGCAGGTAAGGACTGCGATTCTAAAATCTTAGAGACTTGCACAGTTTAGTGTGGGAAGAATTGTGGCTTTAGCATTAATAACAGTAGTGTTTTGGTGATGTGGTTTTGTTTTTTACTCTTTTCTCCATTCCAAGCAATGGTGTCATGTGGCTAGCAATGTTTACTTTTTTATTCTTCCTCCAGTGATGATGTATTTGAGGCCGAGGACGAAGGCCTTCGTCAGATGTTGTCTAGCCTCTTGATACAGGCTGCTGTTTTCTGCCTGTTTTCTTGCTCTGGCAGTGAGAGGGGCACCAGAAAGTTAAGCCCAACTGGTTTCTAAATTGCTTGTCCTATGCAATACTATTTTCTCCTCCCAAGTTACCGAAATGCAGTCAAATAAGAAACTTGTCATTACTCAGAGAGCAAAAGTCTCATGAGTTGCCATGACTGGGCAACAAAATGGCAGATGAAATTCAGTGTTGATAAATACAAAGTAGTGCACATTGGGGGAAAAAATCCCCACTATACATATAAAATGATGGGGTCTAAATTAGCTGTTACCCCTCAAGAAAGATTTTGGAGTAATTGTGGATAGTTGTCTGAAAACATCCATTCAGTGTGCAGCGGCAGTCAAAAAAGCAAACAGAATGTTGGGAATCATTAGGAAAGGGATAGATAATAAGACAGAAAATATCATAACGCTTCTATATAAATGCATGGTATGCCCACATCTTGAAAACTGCATGCAAATTTGGTTACCCCATCTCAAAAAAGATACATTGGAATTGGAAAAGGTATAGAAAAGGAGAACAAAAATGATTAGGTGTATAAGAACAGCTTCCATATGATGAGAGATTAATAAGATTGGGACTTTTCAGCTTGGGAAAGAGACGACTAAGGGGGGATATGATAGAGGTCTATAAAATCATGACTGGTGTGGAGAAAGTAAATAAGGAAATGTTATTTACTCCTTCTCACAACACAAGAACTAGGGGTCACCGAATGAAATTAATAGGCAGCAGGTTTAAAACAAAAGGTAGTATTTCTTCACACAGTGCACAGTCAACCTGTGGAACTCATTGTCAGAGGATGTTGTGAAGGCCAAGACTCTAACAGGGCTCAAAAAAGAGTTAGATAAGTTCATGGAGGATAGGTCCATCAATGGCTATCAACCAGGATGGGTAGGGATGCAAAACCATGCTCTGAAGCGTCCGTAGACTCTTTGGGCCAGATGCTGGGAATGGGCGACAGGGGATGGATCACTTGATGATTACCTGTTCTGTTCATTCCCTCTGGGGCACCTGCTGTTGGCCATTGTTGGAACACAGGATACTGTGCTAGATGGACCATTGGTCTGACCATTCTTAAGTTCTTCTCCATTGCCTTTCTAAGTGAAACATTACTCTTGTGCTACCAGCTTATCACATTTCTTATTTGATGAAGGAAATTGCATCATCATTGCTTTTGTGAAAGGCACGTGTACAAAAGACCTATTTATATTATACGTATACTCTCCCAAAAAAGGATATGAAGGGACTAGGGCTGTCAAGCAATTAAAAATATTAATCTCACGATTAAACAATAATAGAATACTATTTAAATATTCTTGGATGTTTACTACATTTTCAAATATGTTGTTTTCAGTTACAACACAGAATACAAAGTGTACAGAGATCACTTTATATTTATTTTTTTATTACAAATATTTGCACTGTAAAAAACAAAATAGTATTTTTCAATTCACCTAATACAAGTTATAGTACAATCTCTTTATCATGAAAGTTGAACTTACAAATGTAGAATTATGTACAAAAAAAACCTGCATTCAAAAACAAAACAATCTAAAACTTTAGAGCCTAAAAGTCTGCTCAGTCCTACTTCTTGTTCAGCCAATCACTCAGACAAACAAGTTTGTTTATATTTTCAGGAGATAATGCTACCCGCTTCTTGTTTACAATGTCACCTGAAAGTGAGAACAGGTGTTCAGATGGCTCTGTTGTAGCTGGTGTTGCAAGATATTTAAGTGCCAGATGAGCTAAAGATTCATATGTTCCTTCATTCGTCAACCACCATTCCAGAGGACGTGTCCATGCTGATGACGGGTTCGGCTCAATAACGATCCAAAGCAGTGCGCACCCACACATGTTCATTTTCATCATCTGAGTCTGAAGCCACCAGCAGAAGGTTGGTTTTCTTTTTTGGTGGTTCGGGTTCTGTAATTTCTACATCGGAGTGTTGCTCTTTTAAGACTTTTATGAAAGCATGCTCCACACCTCGTCCCTCTCAGATTTTGGACAGCACTTCAGAGTCTTAAACCGTGGGTCGAGTGCTGTAGCTATCTTTAGAAATCTCACATTGGTACCTTCTTTGAGTTTTGTCAAATCTGCAGTAAAAGTGTTCTGAAAATGAACAACGTGCTGGGTCATCATACGAGACTGCTATAATATGAAATATATGGCAGAATGTGGGTAAAACAGAGCAGGAGACATTCAATTCTCCCCCAAGGAGTTCAGTCACAAATTTAATTAACACATTTTTTTAACTAGTGTCATCGACATGGAAGCATGTCCTCTGGAATGGTGGCCGAAGCATGAAGGGGCATATGAATTTTTAGTATATCTGGCACGTAAATACCTTGCAATGCCGGCTATAAAAGTGCGATGCAAACACCTGTTCTTACTTTCAGGTGTCATTGTAAATAAGAAGCGGGCAGCATTATCTCCCGTACATGTAAACAAACTTGTTTATCTTAGCAATTGACTGAACAAGAAGTAGGACTGAGTGGACTTGTAGGCTCTGAAGTTTTACATTGTTTTGTTTTTGAGTGCATTTATGTAACTCAAAATTCTAAATTTGTAAGATGCTCTTTCACGATAAAGAGATTGCACTACAGTACTTGTATGAGATGAATTGAAAAATACTATTTCTTTTATCATTTTTTTACAGTGCAAATATTTGTAGTAAAAAGTGAACACTGTACATTTTGCATTCTGTGTTGTAATTGTTGTAAATCCATACATATGAATATGTAAAAAAAACACCCAAAATATTTAAATTTCAATTGGTATTCTATTGTTAACAGTGTAATTAAAACGGCAATTAATCAAGATTAATTTTTTTAATCGCAGTTGATTTTTTTGAGTTAATCGCGTGAGATAACTGCGATTAATCGAAAACCCTAGAAGGGACCCATGCTGAAAGGTGCTTTATGTCCTCCTCTCCTGTTCACTTAACCATGATTGATTAATAATGAGTTACAATTATTATTATGGTAGTGCCTATAGGCCAGCCAGGAGTGTTCAGACTGTGCAGGCAGAGGCCCTGCCCTGCCCTGCCGAGCTTATCTGCTAATTAGACCAGACTGACACAGGGTGGGGGAAGCAGAGTGAACAATGTGATGGTGGCAAATGGCAGGTTAGTTTCATGATTTTTTTTTTTTTGGGGCGGGGGGGAGGGGGGTGGTTTATTTAGGATGGATTTAGCTAAATGGAAAGAAAAGGGAAGGGGGCGAGGGGATGGGGCAAGGGAGTAGAGAGTGAGAGGGGTGGGTGTGGAGTGAAGCTAAGATGAGAGACTGAGGGAGAGGGAGTGTTTGAGCAAACAGCTAGTGAGCAGAGAAAGTTTCAACTGTAGGAAATTCTTGGAATGCCTATCATAGAATATCAGGGTTGGAAGGGACCCCAGAAGGTCATCTAGTCCAACCCCCTGCTCGAAGCAGGACCAATTCCCAGTTAAATCATCCCAGCCAGGGCTTTGTCAAGCCTGACCTTAAAAACCTCTAAGGAAGGAGATTTTACCACTTCCCTAGGTAACGCATTCCAGTGTTTCACCACCCTCACAGTGAAAAAGTTTTTCCTAATATCCAATCTAAACCTCCCCCACTGCAACTTGAGACCATTACTCCTCGTTCTGTCATCTGCTACCATTGAGAACAGTCTAGAGCCATCCTCTTTGGAACCCCCTTTCAGGTAGTTGAAAGCAGCTATCAAATCCCCCCTCATTCTTCTCTTCTGCAGACTAAACAATCCCAGCTCCCTCAGCCTCTCCTCATAAGTCATGTGTTCTAGACCCCTAATCATTTTTGTTGCCCTTCGCTGGACTCTCTCCAATTTATCCACATCCTTCTTGTAGTGTAGTGTAGCCTAGAGGTCCCTGCTTTGGCTGTTTCTTCCTCAACTGGCTGGAGTCTTTGGCTGGCTCCTCTCTGCAGTTTTCCCCTGAGGTCAGATGTGAGGGGCACCACCTGGGTCCTAGTGCCCCCATAATGTGGTAGGGGCATAGTCTCTTTAGTGGAAGTAGAGGATGTTCAGCACTTTTCAGGGTTGGGCTTTGAGGTTGTCGTTCCAATTTACTCAAAGGTTAATTGGGAACTGGACCACGTGACCTTTGATAGCAAGGCTTACAGGATACCAAAAGAAAGTGTTGTATCCTGAGAGGTATGTTTCTTTGATTTGAATTATTCTTTTAAGGATTACAATGTTCTTGTGGTTAAAATGATTCATTAAGCTAAACCAATGACAAAATATGATCACGCCTGATGTGCAGTTCCTTGAGCATTAAATTGGATAGGAATCAGGTGACAGCTAGGGAGTATAGATGCACTGCTACTGTTTGGGTGCCCTTTTAAATTATTGGGAAAGCTTGTATTTTCTATATAGATATATTAACTTAACTGTAGTTAGAAATTGGCAAAATCATTGCTCACTAAATGTACATGTTGAGAATGAATTGGATCTCTTGTCTGATAAATTAAAATTAAATACAAATGCTCATGTTCCAGAAGTGGCATTATAATACAATAGATGCTTGTTTGCAGCAACACCTTGTAAGAGCAACCGCCACGTACAAGCACCATTTCCCCAAGGAACACTTTCACTACTATGAATTGTCGACACTCCCCATAACAGGAACAGCTGCTTAGGAGTAACATAGCAAAAGGGCACTGATATAGTGCTACTAATGAACGCCTACTGTAATTATCTTTAGGTCACAGCTACATTGCTCTTTCCAATCCCTCTCCATGGTTTGAGAGCTTGGAAATGTTAAGTTCAAATGAACCCTATCACTTTTCAGCCTACCCATAACATAATCTGCCTTCATCTCAAATTCTCTTATTCACTTACCTAGCTTCTTTAAACTCAGTCATCAAGAGGCCAAATCTGCTGAACTATCTCTAATTCCTGAACTCCTCTTTCCTATCCCTTCTTAATTTATACATTATGCACATACATGCTGTACCTGCTCATCCTTCCTAGACCTTTATTTTTTTCTCATCAATTCATCATCCATGACCATATGTTACAAACTTTCTCTTTTCAGTTGACCTTTCATATCTTGATCCTGATCATCTGTCTCTAACCTGCTCTGTTAGAGTATGTCTACATGGCAGGTAGACACCGCAGCTGGCCTGTGCCAGCTGACTCGGGCTCATGGGGCTGCTTAATTGTGGTGCAGATGTTTGGGCCCAGCTGCAGCCTGAACTCTGGGACCATCCCATCTCACAGGCTCCTAGAACTCAGGCTGCAGCCCGAGACCAAACATCTGCACTGCAGTTAAACAGGCCTGCAGCCCAAGCCCCAGGAGCCTGAGTCAGCTGACATGCGCCAGCCCTGGTTTCTAATTGCAGTGTAGACCTAGCCTAGGCCCCTGCTGTACCTTCTCCAGCATGATTCCCTGCAATTCTAGTCTCTCTTCACCATCTAACCCTGCACAGAACATTGCTACCTCTTGCATCACGTGATCCCCCAGTATAATATTAAATTAATGGGTTTCTATAGCCAGTCATGCTCTGAATGCATTGGCTAGGAGGCACTTCAAAATTAAAATGGACAGAAAGCCCTCAAAATAATTGAACTGTGCCATGGAAAGCAATGTCACATCTAGGCCAAGCTTACACCTCAATTCCAGGAATCTCTACATACAATGAACAGAAAGCCTTTCTGGAATGCTGATGTTCTAATATGCATCAATAATTTACACCCACTGAACACTCCCTGCATGTCCTGTTTGCTTTGCCACCGGTTTATCTTTCAGTTCCTTCAAAGGTGTCTTTCATTTTTATAAGCTAAGTGAAGTAAGATGAAAGTGGCATTCAGTAAAGTAGGTTGTGTTGAAATTCAAACAAAAAAAAAAGATTAGGGTCGGCTAACAGAAGAGAAGTGTCACTGATGATGGTCATTGTGTGAGTAGAGTCTGTCAGGACTGTGTGCTGTTGTGTTCAGACATTTTTCTTTTTTTAAAAAAATCCAGTTTTGCAATTCTTTCCCCTTTTCACTCCAGTGGTCGTTTATCAATGAGCTTGATAAACTACAATGTTTGCAGTCACTGCACTGTCAGAATAACCCTTTGATGGGCACAGAGAAGAACCCAGAGACAGTGAGACAGCTTATCATTGCCAAAATAGGCCAATTAAAGGTTCTGAACAAATCTGAGGTATGTGGTGGTTTTTTTTTTCTCAACTAATCACAAAAAAAGTTCTGGAAAAAGTGTCACTGTAAAAGCATTTGGAAAGTGGGAGGGTGTCTGGAGTTTCTTCCTTTGTCTGAATGAATGCATGTGTATCGCTGGAAATCTTCACTTTGAAAATGGACAGAGTCAGGAAACCCTGGATTCTGTTCCTGGCTTTGCCATTAACTCATTGTAACCTTGGGCAAGACACTTAGGTATTTTTGAAAAATTTACCTTAAGTCCTGTAGATGTCAGAAATGGATCTTTCTCCCCCAACATAGGACTTAAATAGGTTTAATAAAACCATTTAAAGTAAATTGCCATTTTTCTTTCCCCCTTTTCAGGTCAGAAATTATAACATGTACACATTACAACCTCGGTGTTGTCCTTTTCAAAATACAGTATCATTGTATTAATTGATGCTGGGAGATCTTGAAAATAAAAAGAGAACTTTCAAAACCCCATGACTTGTTCCATATTTAAGAAATCATTTAGCTCTGAGCTTTCATGCCTCATGATATTGTTTTCAGACTGTACTCTGAGTGCACTGATGACATTGACTAAACTGAGTCTGAATCAGTTGTGGAAGTTGAGATTTTTTCAGACTCTTTGCAGTTTTATAAGGTGCTGAACATACAAGTAACTAATATCTAGCAATCTTGTCTTTTGAAGGACCCTGAACTTGGGTTTTTTGGAAATGTAGCTTAGTGACACAGTAAGTGTTTTGTACTTGTCAATATAGATCTTTCCTGATGAAAGAAAGGGAGCAGAGCTTGACTATCGCAAAATGTTTGGCAATGACTGGATAACGGCTGGTGGAAATCAGAATCCAGACAAAGACAGACCAAATGAGGAATTTCTTGCTGCTCATCCTAGGTACCAGTTACTCTGCCTTAGTAAGTACAGTGGAGGTGAAATGAAAATTTCCTTGCTTTGGTATTATGTATGTTCTGATGTTTTCAGGGTACAGGGGTGGCAGAGATCTTTTAATTATTTGTCCTTCTGTTCTGGGGGCCCCCTTTATTTTTTCAACTTACCATATTTGAAGAGAAAGGAAGAAAACAAATCAAGGTCAAGCAATATAAGGACCTTTCTGCCCACGTGCTCCTACTGGTTTGGAAAAGGCCAGTGTGCAGGACAGTAAACGGTCCTGTAGTCATTATCCCAATCTCCAGCGTTACTGCTTCTAATTAGTTCCAAAACGGCCCTCTGACACTGCCACTCTGCTCCTTTCCCTTTAAGTTTATAGTTTTTTCAGGACAGAAATACCCTTAAGTTGTCATACTCAGTGCCGTGCTGCAGGTCATGATTTCCACCGCAAAAAAGTCCTGTAGTGTCTGCGCAGTAAGGCAAACTGACTTTAAGGAGCTATTTACAGCCCACCTGCCTACCAGGACCTTCTGTTCGATTTCTAAGGGGTCTCCCCGTAAGAACATGAGAGGGGCCATACTGGAGCAGACCAATGGTCCATCTAGCACATTGGCCAATGCCAGGTGCTTCAGAGGGAATGAATGGAAAGGGCAATCATCAAGTGATCCATTCTCTGTGGACCATTCTCAGCTTCTGGCAAACAGACTAGGGACACTCGGAGCATAAGGTTGCATCCCTGTCCTTCTTAATGACTGTTAGTAACTGTTTCCAGAAATTTCAGCCAAAGGAGCACTCCACCAGGCTGGAGATATGATCCTATGCCCTGGCAGCTCCTCCAACAATCTGTAGGTTAAGTGATTTGAATTTCTTGTAAGACAAGGAGATTCTGTAGAGTTAATCAAATAGCTCCTTGTGTATGTTGTCTTCTGATTTCTTGCATATCCAGCCAAATTCTATTCCTCCATTTCCCATTAAGTAAGTAGCTCCTTGTTCCATTTTCCTTCAGTATCTATAGTGGCAGTGTCTATATACTGTCCCTGATTATATCCCACTACAGTAAAGAGACAGATGTAGGAGAGGCTGCCTTCTCAATCAGTCAGTTTTTCAGTTCGCAAAGGGCTTGTGGTGTCCAGTTCCTCAGACTGATCTTTGAATTACATTGCTCTGTCTTGCTGTTAAATTGTGACCCTTACGTTTGTGCTGCAGTTCCTTGGCCCTGCTTTACAACTACCTTCTTGCTTGGTTTTCTTTAATTAGTCCATAACATTGTTCAGATATATGCTATTACAAATACACAAAGCAGAGAAGCATGCTGGCCACAGCTACACACAGACCTGTGTTTGTTCCTGGGTTGCTCTCACTGCTCCTAAGAAATGGATGTGAGCTGGAAAAGTGTTCTGGGTTCTGACAAACATGAATACTTCAGGCATCCTATTTTGCTTTTTAAATGCCCAGTATTCAAGTTGCTGTTCCATGCTAAACAATCTTCTCAATAAGCCTCTGTTTTTTAAAAAGGTTATTATTGAAAATAAGTGAAATTATTCTCAGTATTATTATGTTTACAGGAGTTGAGATCTGCTAATTGATGTTTTTAGCTCACAGCACTGCAGGAGCCCAGCTACTGAGCTGCTTGACTCTGGAAAGCAGGACTGCTTAGCTTCTATGGAAGAATAATAGTGAGAGGCAGTAGAGTTTCATGGTCATTGCATGATCTGGATACCATGTTGTCCCACAGATGATTACTGGGAAGTTTTCCTATGTGATGACTTAAACCAGAGAAAGATATTTCAGCTAAAATTCTACACAACTTTCTTTTGTTTTTACCTTCTGTTTCCCGCTAATCTAGTTTGTTAATTCCATTTTTGTGTGTTTTTTAACAGAATATGGTGCTCCTGAAGAAGGTGAATTGAAACGACAACAGCCTTTCATTCTGAAAAATCAGCTGCTAAGTAAGAGGCCAGAAATTAATAAAATTATATATTTTGCATTTAAAATACTCTCCCTGAAGTAGTAAGGAAGAGGTGCTTTAAGTACCTTTGAAGCCAATTTGTACACCAAAAAGGAACAGTAAAGGGCACAAAAATTGCCTTCCACTTCATCTTGAAGTTGAATACACTTCCCAGAAACAAACTGATAGTAAAGGTTTTAGGGATGTATTTCCAGCTTTATTAGCATGGCATGTGTCAGGATCTCCCTTGTAAAGGTTCCTCGGACAGCCTTAACTCTGGTCCCATGTAGCTGCTTTGCAGACTGTACAACTGTGACTTAGCTGGATGTATTACTTTTTGAGACATCAGTGAATTTTGGACAGTATGATCCCTGCAGACTTTCAGGATATAGCAGGGAGGGTGAATAGGAAGTATTATAACCATGGTATGCTTTAAGGATTGGTAGGGTAGACTGGGCTACTTTGATCCCTCATGTCCCCTTATCCCCCATATGCATGCCAGAAAACACTATGATCCATGGGGGAGGAATAGCTCAGTGGTTTGAGCATTGGCCTACTAAACCCACGGTTGTGAGTTCAATCCTTGAGGGGGCTATTTAGGGATCTGGGCCAAAAATTGGGGATTGGACTAGATGACCTCCTGAGGTCCCTTCCAACCCTGATATTCTATGATTCTAAGGTCTGTGAGAGCTAGTAGTTACAGCCTGCCTTGGGCTATGGAGCTAAGATCCAAGAGTCAGAATCCAGTCAGATTAATATCTTCAGAGACTCAGCCTTACAGTTGAATGTAATTATCCTTGCCTTTCCAACCAGAGCATTTTTAAATTTTGAGGTAGGGAGCCATGATTGATTTAGCCAGTCTAATGGGAAACAAAAGCTTTCATTCTGCTGACTTGAACGGAAGTCCTAAATCAGGGGTACTTCTGTCAATCACATTTAAAAACCTTGGTATGTGGAAGGGCATTTATATATATAAATTTATTTTTAAAAATGCTGCCTAATATTCAACAACCTCCCTTTTTATTGGGGGCTTGGGAGAATGGCAGCCTGGGTTTTAGCTTTCTGGGATGTGCATTCCCAACTGAGCAAAAAAAAAATCATGTCCCTCTCGGGGGGGGGGGGAGGGGGGGGAAGGAATGACTTTAGAACATTTGATCTATCCTAACTGGCATGTTCACTTACTAAGTTGGAATTCCCTGCAGGATTTATGCAAATTGTATTCACACTTAAAGAAACAGAAATTAGATCCACTGGTACCAGGCATTAAAGTTCATATAATGAAACTGTACTCAAACTTCAGTTACACTTCTCATTGTGACTGACTTTGTCTAATTTTTTTTAAAGCTTTGACAATTAAATGTCCAGACCAACCGGATCAGAAACCCATAGAGAAGAAACTACCAGGTAAGAACAGGAATGTTAATTGTTTGTTTCAATGCCTCAGCAGTTCCTTTGTGGTCTCTCCCCCTCCCCCTTTTTTTAAATGCTTCCTTTCCTGAAGAAATCTGGAGGCAGCTGCTTCAGAATGCAGCTGAGAGGAGGCAAAGACCAACTTCTTCTCTTTACTGGGGCTAGTTTTTGGTGGAGGAGTTGCTAGCAGGATATGCAACCTTTCACCTCAAGGTTAGTAATGACAGTCATTACCATATGATGGCTGTACAGTAACATGTGGAAAACAAGCTATAGTCAGTCCAGTTCCTAGCGGATGCTTATACAGCACAAGACTTAAGTTGGCACTGAGTGGCCAATGACGAATTCGCATGAGCATGATTCAGTCAAGGGATACCTGTATGATTTTACCAACCTCTCTGCATTTGATAAATAATTTCATATTAACCTTAAACTTATAAAAAGTAGAAGTACAACTAATATTTGGTTGCCCTCAGACTTGTTTGTAAGTAAATGTGATTGATGGAAAGGTATTTATATGTAGTCTCCCAGAAGTGGAACAAAAAAATTGAATCTTATGCTTTGTGTAGTGATAGCATTGTAACCCAAATTAGTTTCTGTGCTGTTTGGGGGGCTCTCTGAGCATGATATTGTAAATGCACAAAAAATATTCATCTTCAGTATAGGCGACATGCTCCAAATTATGGAGCTGAAATTTTGCTAAGTTTATGGCTTGGACATCAACTCTATGTTCCTTGCCTGTTTAGAATAGTCAGGGAAGACTAAGGCAGGAATTTAATCTAATGAAAGGAGATTCTCTAGAAAATGACATACAGCAATGACTATTATAAGTAGACCTTATATTCAGTTATGTCTAAACTAGAACGTTCTCCTGCCTCTTCACATCATCAGCTCTACTCAAGGCTTTGAAGGTCTGAGTTCTACTGACCTAGCTAAACCTCAAGGGAAGAACTGCTGTTAAATATTTAGACACATACTAAATGTCTGAATTTGTTCTATGAGGAAAGACTTATTCAGTTTTTATTCTAAAATAAAAAACATTTATTATCACAAGTTGCATAAAATCAGATACAACTTTTACAAAAATGTTTGATAGAAAAATAGTTTTCTACATACATTGTGTGATATTACAGAAATAACTCACTATTGCTGTGTCTTCAGATAAAGCTTCAAAGAATGAAAAAAGAATTCAATAACTCTGTACCAGACACACATAGGGAAATCTCTCTTGTACAAACTGAACTTACTCAAAGTTCCATTATAAAAATATCGCCTTGGCACTATGTTATGAACCAATCCATAACACTACTAGCAGTTTGGTTGGAACTAATTAAATCCTGAAACATACCTTGATTTCTTTGTGCTTCGAAAGTTGAGACACCTGGTGCCAAAGAAATCACACCAAAATCTGAGTGGTCGGTATGAAAACTATACTAAAGGTCACTTAGACATGAAAGGAAAAATAAATCATGAAGCTATGTTGGATGAAAATATTTTTAGGTTGTAGCATGTTACTTATCAGTCTAGTCTACCAAAGTTGATTCAGAAATAAAACCATATTTGGCTGCAAGGATGTAAGTACATAATCAGGTTACTTGATTTTTCTTGACAGATTCTATGACTATTCAGAAGGTCAAAGGCTTGCTGTATCGTCTACTTAAAATTCCTGGTTCAGAGCTGAAATTGTCCTATGAAAGTTCTAAAGTAAGTAACATAAGTTGTATTTAAAAGGTCAACATTGCATTCTAAAATACTATAGAATGAAACAGATTTCACTTAAAGGCCAGCAAAGGCCCTAAAAGTCAGATTCTCACTGACTGCCATGGCCTGATCCATCTCCTTTGGACTTGAAAGATGGCCGGGGAAAAGAGACTTGCCTGAGTGTGTACATTTTAAAAGAGCCTCATCGAATGAATTTTTTTTTTCTTCTTCTAGATGGAAGGCAAAGAAATTGAACTAGAAAATGACCTAAAGCCCTTGCAGTTTTACTCTATAGAAAATGGAGACTCTATCTTAGTACGGTGGTAACTTTTTTTAAAATGCAACTTCAGAAGAGGAGCCCACAGGCTACCCCAGGAGAGCATCTGCAATTTGTGCCACTCTTCTTGTACATATTTAATGTGGATTTCATAAACTGGGACAGAGGGCTATTTGAAATGATGCTTGTAACTCCTACATGTATATTTTCAATTAAAAAAAATTGGTGCATAATTGCAGGGATTCTTTTAAATTCCCAGATTAAATGGAAGATTAGCATGAGGTCTTGTGCAGTGAATTTCTATAGAAGAATCACTTTTACTCAGAACATGTAATCTAAAATCTCATGTGACATTTGTAAAAGTCACATGAGATTTTAGATTACAAAGACAACTGCTGTTGCACTAGAAAAGGACACTTAAACTCTGCTTTAAGTGAGAGAGAAAATAACTTTAAGCTTTGTTTTTTTCCCTCAAGGAATACTTTATGTAACACCACGCTCTAGAGAGAGGTACCTAGAATGGGGTGTGGAAAGTTTAGATCCATATTCTGATCTTGTTGCTATATCCTATTTACACATCTAGAGGGGAAAAAGATCACAATTAAGCTGCTGAATTGGAGGATTTATTCAAAATAACTTATCAGCATATTGTGGAGCTATACAGTTTAATGGATATTCTCTGTATGTTGCTTAAACTTTTTACTTTATCTAGATAGTTACTGAGTTATCAGAAAGATGCAAATTCCTTTGAATCTGGTTATATTATTTGCTGTAGTTCAAGATTTGGTATAAGCAAAGTTTAATATCTTGCATCATAATCTCATCCAAATCACTAAGTAGTATACACAACCTCAATATAAATCCTAAAAGATAACTATCCCCACCCTACATGAGCAAGTACCATTTACCACACCCCCCCCCCCAATTTGCAGATTACATTAATCCAGTAAATAGATGTGCTGGCATGGAACCTTGCACCTGCTGACTCTCATGGATACCAGTGGTTCTGCACCTATCATCATCCTAATAGAAATCTAGAGCTTTATGTGCACATTAATTACCAATAGTCCTTTAAGATAATTTCCTTTTTTATAAAGTCAAACTTCTGGTTTTTGTCAGATTAACACCTCACCTATAGAAAAATGCTTCTCTGGACAGGATCACTCAATTTTTATCAAAATGGATGGGCAAATATTAATTACATTATAGGTGAAATTTCCACTATTAAACACCACCTTAGCCGTCCTGATTGTGTATCTCCACAAGTCTTTATCATCTTTCCTCACATCTACAAGGATCTCCACATAATTCCTTCACTTTCCAGAGCTCTGTCAGTTCTTGTGGAGAATACTGAGGGGAAGACAGCATTCCCTTTTCACATGTCTTCTCACACAACCAGAGGCTGTCCTGTTTAAAAAGACAATGATTTCAGTGGGCTTTTTTGGAAGGGGACAGTACTTTACATTCACTAAATCTCTCACACACACACACAGTCTATCAGAAATCAGTATTTCATGGTGTGGGACACTTGTTAATAATATGCCAGTAATTAACAGAATGTAGACAGAGGCAGTGTGTATATAAATAAAACTCTGCAAGGCTCTTATGCTAATCTGAGAACAGACACAATAAGGTCAAGTATCAGACAGCTTACAGATGCATCAAGGTATCAGCCAGCCCCTGACTGATAGGTGCTAGAAATTTTCCTGTGGATCAAATAATTCCATAATGGTCTCAATATGTATGTGGGGATGGGTGCACTTACATTTTGGTCTGATCTGGTCAGGCAATTCCTATATTCTTACACATTACCACTGAGTGTCTGGTTAACCAATCAGCCTTGAGTAGAAACTCTTGCACAAACTATTGTTAATAGGAGTGCTGATGGAAACTGGAAAGACAAGTGCCCCAAACAATGTATTCGTATAACCCCTCCACCTGAGGTTAGTTTGATATGTGCAAGATAGCAGAAACTGAAAAGTTATTTAATTAGAAGAAAGTCACCCAGTAGTAATCTGTTAAAGATTTTATCCTGTATGCACCCAGAAAGAATTATTTTGTAATTAACTGGGAGAAGGTGTGATGGAAATGTTTGTATATTGAACTACTCGTATGGATTAAAAAAAAAACCCATTTGAAACTCCTGTTCATGCATTAAAACAGCTACTGCAGGAATGCCTTCCATGATGAGGAAAATTGTATTTTCCAGGGGCTGCCCAACTTGGGTTAAGAGCCATGCTACTGTACCAGGAAAAACAGAATTTCTGCAGACTTGCTCACCTGATATCGCTTAGGCCCTATAGCTGCCATCCAAATGCCCATACTCACATCTTCACCCTGTAGATGTATTTCAAAAACAAACATTAGCCTTGGTGCATTTCCAACTAATTATTTCCCAACTATGAAATTCTGAACCAAAGTCTGTTGTACACCATGTATGTGCAGTTACCACTAACTGAACAAGTAAAATATTAGCTTTATTTATATTATTTCTTAAATGTAGTTTTTTCTAAGCATCTCTTAAAAATATCTCCCACTCCTCCCAACATCCCTGAGGAAGCTGTGTGTTAAAATGGTGGATTTTACAGGTTAGGAAACTAAGGCAAATATAGTCACAGTGACTTCCAACACTAGACAAGGAGCCAATGCAAAAGTAGGATTAGAACTCTGGAGCTCCTAATCTCACATCTCTCTCAACATAAAAATCTACTAATTAGCCAGAGCTAACAAATCTAATTCCAGAATCAAAGGTGTGGTGTGAGAAAAGGGTAGGGGGAGTGGGAGACCTTAAGGTTTTCTGGGGTTTTTAGCATGGGGCTTAAGTACCTGGTATGTCTTGAGTCTTTCAGAGTTGCTTGCCAACCATTGAACAATGTCTTTGGAGATAACATAACCAGACCCACAGGCAAAGGCAGGGTATGCTGGACTGGGATACTCCAGTTCTTGCCACTTCCCTGTCCGATCAACTGCCCAATTTAGTCTGAAACTTAAGAGCAAAATAATCATGCAAACTGCTTTTGAAGAAGATATTTATAAAAAGCTCCAATAATCCATGCAATTTAGTCAATACAACTGAAGCAAACTAAGTAATGAATTCTAAGAAAAAGTGTAGAAAACTTTTCACTGAGTTATGATTCAGACAGTCCTATTTCAGTCTCTAAGGTGCCACAAGTACTCCTTTTCTTCCTGTTAAGAGTATCATTGAAACATTTAATTTCAAAGAGGCAATTATGCCATGTTAATTTCCTCTAAGAAGATTTGTAAACACACTAACAGAAAAAAGCATTGCTGGCTCTAGGGTGCATTTGCACTGTTACCAGCTTCAGCTAATTAACACATCTCTTGTCAATAAATTTGTGCTTCAACACACACCACAGTTCCCTAACTGTCAAAATCCCTACCCTGTACTTTTTTTTTTTAAACTTATGACAAATACAACAGGTACATCCAGAAGGCATGCAGTTACAGTGATAAGCATATTGGTCCACTGAGACCAAATAAATGCCCTCCTAAAAAATAGCAATCAAGGGGGAAAAGGCAGCAAAAGGCATATCTGTTATCCTTTAAACATGGCTAATTTTGCAGAAACCAGAATAATAATTTGGGATCCTGGACATAACAGAAGTCACCTTTCTTCATGTGAGCCAACACAGTGTTCAACTCAAGCTGTCAGGGCACCAGACCTGGGTTTCTAATGTCAAATGCACCACTGATTTGCTGTTTGACCTTTGATAAGTCATGTAACTGCTCTATGCCTCAGTTTCCCCATCTGTAAAATGGTGCTTACAAGGCAGACATTCGCTGCAGGCCACACCCATTTAGTGCTTTTAGCAAAACAAGCAACAGGCTTTATCCACCAAGGTTTCTTTCTCAAGACAGGCCAGACTGTCCCCAGCAGGCTGCTGGTAAAATCCTAACAAACATACAAACTGAAGTCTAAGTTTAAAAATAGTAAAATAACCCCTTCCCCATGTTCACTTCCTTGTTCCTGATTCTGTCTTCAGCCCTTCCCGCGAAGATCAGTTGAAGGGGAAGGGGGAAAAAAGGAGAGCTTTCCTGATCTCTAAGGGTATGTCTACACAGCACTGTCAGCTGACACTGGCCTGTGTCAGCTGACTCGGCCTTGGGCTGAAAAGATGCAGTGAAGATGTTCAGGCTCAAGGACCCTCCCTCAGGGTGTGGTCCCAGATCTTAGACTCTAACCCAAGCCCGAACATCTACACTGCAATCTTACAGCCCGTAAGTCCAGGCCAGCTGCAGGTGTTGAATTGCTGCACAGACATACCCTAAGGGCTAGACTGTGTGGATGGTGCAGCTCTGGTGGAGGCAGGCTAGCTACCCAAGTCGCAACACCCCCACAGCTACATTTGGTGAGCAGAGTGAGCATGAGCCCATCTATCCAGGCTGGGAGGCTTACTGCAAGCTGCTGTGCGACATACCATAAGAGGCTCCAAACTCCCTTCATACTCTCTCCTATTGTGAGGGAGACTGTTCCTGTTCCCCCCTCCCAGCATACCTTAGGGTGAAAGCCTACTAACCCCATCATCCCCCTGGGCCCAGTTGAGAGGGAAACCTGGACTGAATCACACTTCTAGGCTCTGGTCCCAAGCCCTAGGCAGTCAGCTGCCTGCGTTTTTTCAAACCATGAACTTCCACCCTGGGACCATTTCTTCTCACAGGTCTGTCCTTTAAAATACAACCCCTCAAGGGCTGAATATGGCTCCAGTGTCTTTTCTTCCCTGCTCAGTCTTAAAATACCACAATTCCCTATACATAGGAATAATGGTATTTACCGACCTTCAAACAATGTTTTGCACAGTTGAAAAGTGCTATATAAGAACTAAATATTTTTATGAACAGGTCCTAGATGTAATCACAGCCAGCTGCCATAATTGTGTCAATGTGCCAGGCTTTTACTATTTAGAAACAGGTTCTAACATGGCTTAGGTCAATCAAAAGCTAAGTGAGTTTTTATGGCCCAGAGAGCCATTACACACTGGCATGTCAGTTGCAGTGGGGTAGGTGCCTAGTACTGAACAACAGAAGATGAAGACTGACATGGATGGGCAGAGGTGAACATGAAACTATCACATTACATGCCCACACAATGGCCGGCTCTAGTCACTGTTAGCCATCTCTGTTTAACAAGCACTGACATTCACCCAAAAGTACTCAGCTGCAAGTGGTTGAGACCTTTTCTGCTTAGGCTTGTTACCAACAAGCAGTGATTCTTCATAAATTTTGCTAAGCAAAGCCTTAAGTATATTTCGATGGCATCAAGCCCTGGCAATTAAAGATAGAAGGCAAACATCATGCATTCAGGACTGCAATTTAATTATTTATAAAAAGAAAAGGAGGACTTGTGCACCTTAGAGACTAACAAATTTATTTGATCATAAGCTTTCATGAGCTACAGCTCACTTCATCGGATGCTGTAGCTCACGAAAGCTTATGCTCTAATAAATTTGTTAGTCTCCAAGGTGCCACAAGTACTCCTTTTCTTTTTATGGATACAGACTAACACAGCTGCTACTCTGACACCTTAATTATTTATGGTTGTTTGCTGTATATCCATCAGAGACAATGGATTCTACCATGAGAAAATCTGAATGCCATGTACCAAATGTAGGGTATAGGCCTCTATAGGGATTAACACAATTATTCTAATTTATTACTGAAATTTTAGGTTATTACAATCTTGCCTTTGTCTTTACCGAATGTTAGCATATTCCGTTATTTTCCTACACAATGCTTGAAGAACACTTGATAACTCACTCGGATACTTGGTTGCTTATATAATGAAATGAAATGTCTCAGCTACTCAAGAAACTTCATAAGACATTTTGGCTCTGTCAAGTAGTGCCAAGCACCGGAAGTATCAAGGGTATGGCCATGCTGCAATCGGAAGTGTGATTGCAACACAGGCTGGCAAAGCTTTAACCTAACTAGCATGGCTAAAAACAGCACTAAAGATGCAGCAGTGCGGGCTAGCACCACAAGTAAGATACTAGCATGCTTGGAGAGCCCACACTATTGTCTCTTCACTGCTATTTTTAGCCATGCTAGAATGGGTATAGCAGCCCATGCTAAAAATCATGCTTCCGACTGCAGCTTAGCCATAACCTTTAATCAGCCCCACCCTTCCAGTCCAGTAGGGCTTCTGCAACATGATAACATCCCCAAGATATCAGCATCACTGGTGAGAAAGTTTACAAAAGCGCTGCCAAGAGATTAGCCTAAAATTGCGTTTAACATTTCTATGTCCCACTAAAGCCACATTATTGTAATTGAAGGTGTTAACAGCGTCTCCTGTTAAACACCAGATGGCATGGACTGTGTACTTCTGGAGAGGAGATACTTGGTAACCTGTGTAAACAGAGACAAGTAGTGGAGTTTAATCTGAATTTAAGATTCTTAATATTTTTCCTGTGTCAAGACTGCTTCCTGAATGGCATACTTTCCTCAGTTTCAGAGGACTCTGTTAAGCTCACTCAATTCACATTGGTCAGTCTATTGAGCAGTGTGCCTGACTACAATTTGGTCTTGGCAGTTTTTAGGTATCATCACAGGAAAATCATGGCTAAAAGGAGCAAGAGTTAAAGGGAAGTGGTGGCTCCATCTCTTGAAATCGTCAGATCCAAGATTGGATGCCTTTTTGGAAGATGTTTTAGTCATACACAAATTACTGGCCTCAATATAGGTGTAACTGGGAGAAGCTTGAAGCTCTCAACAGTCCGTTTGAGTTGGGAGTAGACAGCAGCGAGAATCTTAATGAGTTCATACAATATGATATTTTGCAAAAAAGTCTGGGTGAGGTTTCAAGCCTGTCAGTTACCAGTACACGACAGTAAGGATGGGACCTACCCTATGCAGCTGATACAGACTCTTTTAGTTTGAAGGTTAGATAAACCTTCCGGGGTAGGCTTGCTAATTATCATCATTAAAAATCTCTGAAGCCTCCTGTTTTTCTTTAATCTTAATTCATAACTAAGGGCCAAATTCTGAACTTTCATCCATTTTTACCCCCTTGACTTCAAGGAGTTACTCTTCTTTTACAAATTGAAGAGACCAGAATCAGTTTCACAGGGCAACCACCCTTAAAACTCATTTGACCAAACCTACCACTGATATCTCTGGACACCACCACTGAAGCCAAGGAAATTATGCCACAGATTAATGTGGTCCTGTGTGTCTGCAGTTCTTAATGGGGTGACAACAGAGTTTCCATTATAAGCAAGGCCACTGCAAGATGAATGTAAATTCTGAGCCTAGACCCCTGGTTTCCCTGGCACACAAGAGTTGCAGCTTGGAACATTCTGGTGTTTTTAAACCATTTCCATTAAAATATGAGAGAGTGTGATAATCTAGTCTGACTTCCTGAACAACACCAACCATAGAATTTTACCCAGTAATTGCTGCATCATGCCTGTAACTCCTGGTTGAGCTACAGTATATTAGAACAAAATCTTAAATCAAGATTGGATGTCTAAGTGATGCGGAATTCACCATATTGTTGGTAAACAATTCCCAGGATTGATTAATTAACTTCACTGTTAAAATTTGTATTTTTTTTTCAATAGTAAATTCAATTTTCAGTGTGTCACAGACTATTTTATATTGACAATCCATAGCTGTCTTGTACAGCTGTCAGTGGGGCAAAGCTGGCATTTTAGCTGGTGGATAGAGGACAGTTGGGATTTCTTGGCAACTAGAATGATGTAGTAGGTAGTTTGGGATAAGCACATTAGCTGGATGTTTTGGTAACACGATCAGTAGTAAAATAGGTAATATTGACTTTTGTCATTTATAAGCTGCAGAATACATGGCGCCAGACTATAAAGCCAATTTTGTCCCCCCATACACAACCTTGTATTCTGAAAATACACAACCCATTTTCAACCAGAAAAAGTCATACTGCCCTGAAAAAAAAGGTAAAATTCAAAACAATGGTATGTTGGTACATGCTTGCAGTTTTTAACTTCATCTTATTTCTACACAGAAATATGTATTACCTACCACTTCCTATATGCTACAGAGAAATGTTATGTGCCACCTGACGCATGTTATAGCCCAGTATCAGAGGGGAAATAGCCAGTATCAGCTATTGTAAGGGCACATTCTAGAACAATTATTAGCTGGCTTCTGCAACTCAGGATCCAGACCTGCTCTGACTGAAGTTATGGAACTTTACTAGTGACTTGAAGTGGGCACAAGAGGGGGGAGGTGGCTCCATAAGGCAACTGCTGAACTGATTTTTACAGCAGTAAAACATTCCATAGACATATGGAGAAATTAAAAGATCCATGAAAAACGCAGTAAGCAGAAGAGTTTGAGACTCACTTGCCCCACCAGATATTTGGCCTGTCAAGTTTTTCGTGCATTATCCTGTTGAACACAGCTTCCAAATTTATGTAACAGTCGTCATCTGTCTTCAGCAACAAATCAAAGTTAGCTGATTCTACTGTCCTGTTGCCAAAAGAAAAATAGTGATGATTTACTGGGAAATAATTTTAAACTGCATTACAACTCCACAACGTAACCTGGATGCAACATAAACAGTGAAAGGCCCCATTGGAAAGGTAAGCCATTTGTCCTCTTCCTTTCAAATGTTTTTCCTATAGACTGATAGCGAGGACTGTGTACTAGTTCTAAAGAAGAAACACATAGCTGTTGTATTATTTTCATGGGTTTGTACAAAGTATGAAAGGAACCTGAGGTAGGATTTTTGCTATCCAAAATCCATTTTTGTTGATGAGTTTAACTTACAATGAATCTATCTAAAACAGCACTGACCTCAAAAGGATAGGAACTCCTGCTGAGAACTACATCACAGCTATTAATGCCAGGGCTTGTATAAAGGGCTGGTAGTCCAGCTAGCCTTCTGTATGAGAACAGCTGGTTCAAGGGCAGTGCAACTAGGAAAGTTTACAAGGAATGATTTGTAGTAATAATTGATTTGTAGTAATGATTTGTAGTAATAATTTGGTGCTTACCCTCTGTAAAGCACTCTCCAAATATTAAATGGGTAATCCTCAACATCCCTGTGAGGTACATACATTATTTTACAGATAGAGAAGCTGACTGTAAGGAGAAACTCAAAAGAATTAGAGTGAGATTATTCCTTGGTTTATCCAGAAAGACAGGCTATGTTTTGAAGGACATTCCTATATATTCACTTCCCTTAAGTAGCAAACTGTTTTCCTTAAATCCTTTATTACTGAAAAAGAAACAATTTTCTGCTAATGGGCAACCAGTCACCACAGAGAGTTAGATGACTTCAACTTTATTTCCCCTTTTAGCAATCAGAAGTATTCTTCTGTTTCTCATTTGTGTATTCTACACTATTCGGCACCTTCCTTTGGTGGCTTTAAAAAAACCAAAACACCACAGGTAGCATTTAAAGTTATTATTTAACAACGGAAGAATCAGCCCAAGTTCAACATTAGTAATTCCAGTGGCTTCAACTGTTACTCCTTATTTACAAGAGAGTGTGAACAGAAAACCAAGCCCATTGTCTTTACTGATGTGTAAGCATATATTTGGGAATATATATGCATAGTTGTAGGAGATTTGCTGCACATATCTAAACAGATCTCCTTAGACTATTTTTATGCAAGAGGTGCTATAAAATATGCTTGAGCTTTCAGTTAAATGTTCTCCAGTTAATTATCAATGCTATTTTTAAAGTTCCGATGACTCAGTTCTGATTGTATTACTCACTGAGGTCTTGATCCTGCAATGGGATTATTCATTTGTGTGTGTAAAGTTAAGCACATACCTTTGGGGATCAAATGTGAGTTTTGGGGAGGGGATTGCTGTTTACAAATAATAAATAAATAAATAATAATAAATACCCATATATATTGTAAACTGAGCTTAGAACTGGAACTATGCAATGTTCAAAATGTTCTGGTATTTGTTTTTGATAATTACTCATGTTTATATCTTCCAATACATTTATGTTGTGCAAATGTACTGAAACTAAACAGAATTTAAAATAAAAAAAAATCTAATTTTTAGAATGAAAGGCTGTGTTTTTTCAGCTTTTATGGCTAACATCTCCAAGAAACCGAAACCTTTAAAATACATTTTACTCCAAGGAGTTTGCAGGTATTATCAATTGCTTTTTCAATTCATGTTTTAGATTGATGCTTCAGGCATTAATGTTTAGACCCTATTTTCACACACGACAGAGGGCTCTGGCAGTAGCAGGCAGCTCTTGTGCGACTGTTGTGATGACAAAGGGTGCTCAAAGCTATTTGGAAGGCCTTTCTGGTCTGAGTGCTGAGCCTCTCCATGTTGGGTGCTTGGTCCCATGAGGCACTGAGCACTTCAAGCTGAAATCTACCTTGCAATGGAAATTGAGGGTGCTCAGGACCTGACAGAGTTGAACCCTTTGGTCATGATAAAAAGCCCACTGAGGTCAATGCCAGTCTTTCTGTTGACTTCCATGGGCTTTTGATTAGGCCTTCTGTTTGTAAATCAGGCTGACAGCCAGCATTTAAAATTTAACCTGCTGGTCTTCAGATTGGTTTGTGATTTCATGTTGTTAGCAAACATCCCAGGTAAGGCTGTGGGCATGATTTAACCCTAACTTGCATATGTGAATTTGTGGAGCAGATATCTGTTTTTACAGATATTTGGGGTGCGGAAGGGAAGGAGTTCAGTCAGTAAAGATCAATCCTAAAAACCGAGCTCTCACTTTTAATCACCAGATGGAGTAATACAATTTTGGCCTTTCTAGTGTGAAAACTAAACAAAACAAAAACAAACAATGAAAAGAGTAAATAATTTCCAGTTATAGTGTGTAATTTTTCAGAATACAGCATATCAGGGACTATCTGGCACCAGAAGTAACCAGGGAAATCCTTGATTAAAAAATATTTTTTTCCAACCTACCATCGGTAGAAGTTCAGTAATTTGGCTGGAACATTTCTGTAGGTGTCAACAACATCTACAAAAACAATATCATCATAGGCTCCGCTTTCTTCCTTCAATAATGCATCCTCCTCTTCAAGGTTTTTTAAGTGGTTTACAAACCTTTCAGGGCGAGTATGAAGGCTTTGTAAAAGACCATCACCTTCTAAAGGGGAGGAAGAAGAAATTATACATAGCCAAAATTACACATCTGTTAACATCCATGTGCAGTACACTACATACAGCTGTGTATATTTTTCTTGTACTAGAAGTAGCATATTTACATATTTATTTTATGAGTAAGCATCCAGCCAAAATCTGGATTTAGGAAATTTTGCAATTTTTTTAAAAAATGAAGGCACTAATTTTACAAGTTTACAATGTAAAATGATTTACAATGATAAAAAGTAAAAGTTGCAGACCATACTTTTTGGGGGGGGAGGGGAAGGAGTCATACATATACCAAATTCACAGTCCATTTTGGTCAATTTCTTGGTCAGAGGATTTTAAAAAATAATAAATTTAATGATTTCAGCTGTTTAAATCTGCAATTTCACGGTGTTGTAATTGTCAGAGGTCCTGACCCCAAGAGGAGGTATGCAGAGGACGTGAGGTTATTGTTGGGGGGTGGGAGGGTTGCAGTACTGCTATCCTTAGTTCTGCACTGCTGCTGGTGGCAACGCTGCCTTCAGAGCTGGGCAGCTGGAGAGCAGCAGCTGCTGGCCAGGCGCCCAGCTCTGAGGACAGAGCCACTGCCAGCAGCAGCAAAGAAGGAAGGATGGCATGGTATGGGATTGCCACCCTTACCTCTCTGCTGCTGCTGGAAGGGCACTGCCTTCAGAGCTGGGCGCCCAGCCAACAGCCACTGCTCTCCATCCATCCAGCTCTGAAGGCAGCGCAGAAGGGTTTCAATACCGTGACACCTTCCCCCTGCAAAATAAGCTTTTGACCCCCCCTGCAACTCCCTTTTGGGTCAGGACCCCCAATTTGAGAAACTCTGGTTTCCCCAATGAAATCTGAATAGTGTAGGGTAAAAGCACACAAAATGACCAGATTTCACTGTCTGTGTTGCGTTTTTCACGGCTGTGAATTTGGTAGGGCCCTACATATACCCTAATGAAAAAGGAACAGAATGCTTCTTTGCTCTAATGAAAGAATTCAAAAAAGTCTTAAGAATGTTTTATACAAATTATCCAGCATTCTACTCTCTACTTTTTACAGGATGAATAGGGGGGCTACCCAACTCAATATCAGTTTATCCTAAGCACATTTACCTGTAGCATAGACAGAGGCTGAAAACCAGGTTCTCACATACTGCTCTGACAAGGCTCAACACAACCGATTTTCATGGTACAGTCGTGCTGGCCTGTCCACATCTACCACAGTGAATAACCAGTTTTGCATAAGCATAATTCAGGAAAAATCAGGGCAGGTATTCTGTACTACCTGAACTTTTAAGAATAGGGGGGAGGAGGCGGCAGCGGGTTTTACAAATGGTTTCAATGCACTTTAAGATCCTCCTGCACAGATGTATGGGAGATTAGACTGCTCAATCATATCTGCCAGTCCTATCTACTCAGCACAGAAATGGTACTTGAATGTGGTTTGGCGTCCGACACGGTATTAATTGTTGTGTGGAGTCAACCATGTTACAATCTGATTACACACAGCAAAGATCTGTAGTGGAGACAGGCACTTACTAGCTCAGAGGAAAGCCCAGAACTGGATCCATTATTCCCTTATTTTCCTCTTGTAGTAAAGCTTTAACTCCCTGAAAAGTTTTTATAGGCCGAAGCTGGTTTGTGTGCCCCCAAACCACATTTTAAAACTAAGTTAGTTATTTTACTTATGGAAAATAAATTTCTGGTTTTCCTTATGTCAGGGCAGACAAGCCAGCCTCACTTTTGAAAAGTGTTAATACAGAGCCACCTCAGTTTTTGCATTACAGCAGCTGCTCTGTGGTGCCAGTTTAGATGCTTCAGTACTAGGTGGCCCAAAGACCATGCAGAGTTTGAAAGGGCTCCCAGAGGCTCACACACAACCTGCTGAAATGGGTGCAAAGGGCAACAGCATTGCTGGGAAAAGCAAGCCCACTGTAGCTTTAATGTCACCATTAGCCAACAGTTGCTCCATAGTGTTGCAAGATAAACTGCAGTTATTGTCTATTCTAAATATAGGGGAAAAGTGGTAACTGTTAGCACAAGTTGACTTCTTAAAGACAACCAATGTAGAACTTTTTTCTTTAACTTGGTCTTTTGAACAAGAATTAAGGACGGGGACAGGGAAATCGTTTTGGACAGAAGGGGAAAAGGTTATTGTGTTAATAAAAAGACAGCAAAGAGATCAAAATTGGCTTAGCTAGGTGATAAGGAGCAACCAAAGATGTCAGCATGTCACCAAAATTTTACTTAGTACCGGACTTATATGAGAGAGGAATAAACTAAATGTAGAACTTCTTAGTCAATCAAATTAATATTGGACATAGTTTGATCATTCATTTCAGAGCTGTCATTTAAATGTTCTATTGTACGAGGATAGAGAGATTCTCTACTACATTTTTTGCAGACTTACCTTGAATAGTGTAAATAAAGCCTCCTGCTATTCCTTCCACACCTTCTGTGAATTCATGTGGCCATGAACCTTCCCCTGTCTGTTAGAGATTGATTAAAAACATTACAAAAAGAGAAATATGTCAGTAGCGAAAGTTGAGCTAATTCTCTCTCTAAATACAAAGCTTGATATAACAACTAAGAATAAAACTATGTACAGTACATGTTTTTAGATGGTTATAATTTTAGGATGAGATTTTTTAAACATGCCTAAGGGATTCAGGTGCTCTATTGTCATTAAAATTAATAGCAATGAGGCATCCAAAACAAAGGCAGCTTTCGAAATTGTAGCATTAATTTCTGTGTTCTATTCCATCCTCATATCACATTGGAAAGCTAGACTTGAAATTAAGAGGAAAGGGTTAAACTTTAAATGGCTAAAATACAAAGGCTCAGCATGCTGTTTGTGAATCAGCAGAAAGTGGTGACAAGGAAAGAGAATTCATCGCCTTAGGGTTGCAGTAACTGGGCAGAATTCACTGCTGGCAAAAATGGGTTCAAGAACAGTCTTTCATGCAGATTCAGCTGCAGTGAATCTGACCCATTATCTTTGAAGTCCATAAAGGGGAGGGGTGAACTTTATATCCACGCAGAGTGAAAAACAGGTCTTTAATACAGTCAGTGGCACCATTTTCTTGGTTCACCAAAGGGCTGGATCCCAAGGTGGGTGTAAGTAGAAAATTAAACCAATAGAGGAAGCCAGACTGATGTGACCTGAAATGACTGGACATTTACAAAGAAAACCTAGGGAGCACAGGGAAATGGGACAGAAAAAGATCTTAAGTTAAACTTTTACCAAAAAATAATTTATGATTGGAACATAAGTAGTATGAAGAGATGACGCACCATAGAGACTCTGAGAACTCCTCCTCCATCATTAACCTTCACTTTGTGAAGATTCCTAGAAACAAGGCCTTGAAGGTCCTGGCTTTCCCACACAATAGTACCTTCAAAACTCTGTTAAGAAAGCACACCACAATTCACTATTAACAGGAAAAAAAAATACACACACATATATATATATATACACACACACACACACACACAAAGACTTTAGAGAGTAGAATCAAATGGAAGTATCACAATTTTAATTAAAAAACAGTCAATTTTACATAAATGATAGTTTTATAATATAGCATAATGTTTTTACTTAGACTTCACTGCAATAAAATCAGTTCTACGTAAAGTGATGCATCTATGAAACAGAACCAGACAATGTGCTTTAAGTCAAACAACTTATTTCTCTACATCACGAGTGATATTAAACTTTAACAGAAGTCTATAATGAAAGATTTTTTCCTTTTTATTTAAATTTTAAAATTTTATTTAAAAGGTGAACTGTAATGATTTTTAAAAATTAACTATAAAAACCAATGTTACAAACAGAACATATTATAAGAAATTTAAAAATCAATGCCTCTTTTAGTTATCTGCCAAGACTTGAGATTAGCGATCTCTGTTGATCCTGCAACAATCACTGACATCACCAAAACTTAGAGGGAAGCAGGGAATTTCCTTTCTTCCCTTGGTATAGTGTCATGAGTTGTAACAGGAGAATCAGAGAACCCTGGCCTCAGTTCTTGGTATACAAGTAAAGGAGGAAATTATTGTCTTTTTTCCCTTTTTATTTAAACCGTATGACACTTTAAAAAAACCTAAGATCCTACATCACTAAGAGGCTATATGTGTAACTTAGTTTTTAAAAAGCAATTCAGTCCACCTTTAAACTGATTTGCTGAATGCTACATATTATCCATACAGTATATCTCATATATTACTATTATTTTCTGTTGAAAGTCTCTAAGATGGTTAGGAAGGGACAGAGGGAATGCAATATAAAAATAAAAGTTAAAGTAGTAATTTAAAGTTCTATAGTTTTTTTAGGTAATCCTGTTCTGGTCGAGAGACTACACACTGAATACATTAACATTAGTTTCATGAATGTTAAACCAAAGCAAATGATTTTGTTTAAAGCAATACATGATATAGCTTTAAATCAATTCCTCATCTTCTAAAACAAAAATTTTGACACACTGCCCATAAACGTAGCTATTCAAGCACAGAAACACCTCATCTTGTTTTAAACTTATCTACAAATGCAGACAGATCCTCAATGTTCAGAACTGTTTGCCAACTCTCTGCTGCTGTATGCTTCAGATCCCACTCTTTGGTTTCCAGTTACCTGAGCCTCTCCTTTGACCTTTTCCCAACTCATTTCCTTGTATTATCATTTTCTCCAGACTGTGTCCTCTTACTGACAGATCCAAAACAGTCCAGCTTGATTTCTTACAACTTCCTCCAGCTCTTTAACATCCTCCATCAATAGGTCTTTTATGCTCATAGCATGCTTGATATTCAGTCACAGCCACACATTTCAAAAGTCTCATATCCTCCATCGTCTGTTGCTTCTAATTAGTTTTATCGTTGAACAATGGACCAAATCAGTACTCATCCTGGTGTGATCTTTGTGCTCAATACCTCCACTCTGCTTACTTCTAATTATTTGTCATTTTAATATGACAAGTGGACCATTACTAAGACTTTTTTAATGTCAATGGCAGGATTCCCCATCACCCTAGGCTTTGAAACCTGGATAGCAGCACTTACCAAGCATCTGTATTTACAAGGTATTTTAGTAACTGCCTTTTCCCACGGTAACAATTTTTGCTTTAGAGATCAATAAATCTTGGTTCTAGTTCTAGCTCTGCCATTTGACTGCATGTGTGCCGTTGGGCAAGTCACTTAGCCTGTACGTGACTCAGTTTCCTCCTCTGTAAAAGAGGATATGTAAATACTTACTATACCCACTTCAAAAAGGTCATCGAGAGACTTAATCAATTAGATGGTTGAATGCAAGGTGTTCTAGAAGTGCCAAATATTATTGCTTTACATCTTGAGAGATGTGAGCAAGTTCACTAATGACTTTAGCCTTCAGCTATTCTTATTCCAAGCTGCCTAATGGAAACTTCATCTGTAAAAATGCGGAAAGGAGAACATTACCAGCGCACACCATCTGTTTTCTCCCTATTTACAGTCCATCCTCTCTGTAATTGGAGAGCATTGGCACTTATTATGAAGATTGAACAGGTGGACTGACATAATGTAATCCTGTTAAACTCCTTTCTGAATGTTACAGTGCCATGCCTTTTGTTGTTTGGACTATTTCTCATTAGTAACAGTCAGCAAATGGCACAGAGTCTTAATTCCATGTGAGTGGTCTGGAGCTCTGTGTAAAAAAAAAAATAAAAATGCTTCTTTAAAACTTGTCTATGAATCCCTCCTTCATCCTTAGAAGTTTGCTGATTTGTGCTCGCTTGCTCCACAATCATCTGGAAAATGAATGACTGAGCCTGTCTTTGACAATCTGGCCTGCCAACTGCTTGTTCTGAAGTTATAATTCCCTCCATCTTTCCTCACTCTTACAAGGATGAGCCAAAACAAATAAACAAACAAACAAACAAACCAGCACTTTAGCTGAAAGACAGATGAAGTTCTTTGGTAATTTGAACAATCCAATATTTCTTAATGTAGAGGAGTAGGGAAAGGTATTGTCTCATACCAATCTTGTAGCACTTAAACACTTCATTACAAACAGATCTCAGATAACTGGATGTCAGTATATGTGCATTAAATCTCTTCTGGGTGGTCCTGAATGCTTCAGCATCTTAAATATCACAAAGACTATGTGACAAAGAGTAAACCCCATCAATCCAAATGAGAAATGTCATGTCATCCTGTAGATATACAATGCCAATAACATAGTAAAAATATCAATATAAAGCACTTGGAGTTTGTCTCTTTTCTAAACAATGCTTCAGACCTTTTTTTCAATAAGAACGCAAAAATGTATCAGGGGAACACTGTCAAACTGGGAGGACATACCTAGTGGGGTTTTGCAGGGGTCTGTTCTGGGTCCAGTACTATTCAATATTTCATTAATGACTTGGATAAAGGAGTGGAGAATTAGTTAATATATTTGCAGATAACACTGAACTGGGAAGGGTTGCAAGCACTTTGGAGGACAGGATTAGAATTTAAAATGAACTTGACAAACTGGAGAACTGGTGTGAATTCAAGATTAACTTCAATAAAGACAAGTGAAAAGTATTTCATTTAGGAAGGAAAAATCAAATGCACAACTACAAAATGGGGAACTGATTAGGCAGTAGTACTGTCAAAAAGGATGTGCAGGTTATAATGGATCACAAATTGAATAGGAGCCAACAATGGCGAATATCATTCTAGGGTGTATTAACAGGAATGTCTTATGTATGACACGGGAGGTAACTGTCCTGCGCTACTTGGCTCTGGTGAGGTCTCAGCTGCAGTACTGTGTCCAGTTCTGGGTGCCACACTCTAACAAAGATGTGGATAAACTGGAGAGAGTATCCAGAAGACAGTGACAAAAATTATAAAAGATTTAAAAAACCTGATTTATAAGGAAGGGATAAAAAACAAACCTTGGCATGTTTAGTCTTGAGCAAAGATGACTGAGAGGGGACTTTATAAGTCTTCATATATGTTAAGGGCTGTTATAAAAAGGGTGGTGATCAATCGTTCTACACGCTCACTGAGGGTAAGACAAGTAGTAATGGGCTTAATCTGCAGCAAGGGAGATTTAGGATAGATATTAGGAAAAACTTTCTAACTACAAGGATAGTTAAGCTCTGGAGCTGCCCTACACCATATTAGGCTTCCAAGGGAGGTGGAATCCCCATCATTAGAGGTTTTTAGAACAGGTTAGACAAACGCTTGTCAGGGATGGTCTAGATTTACTTGATCCGGCCTCAACACTAGGGGATGTACTAGATCACCTCTTGAGGTCTCTTCCAGTCTTATATTTTGATAAATTTATGTCACAGCTTGAATATGTATTAATATTTATAGCTGGAAAATAAGAGGAAAAAATTACAAGTGCCTGGGAATTTAATATAGTGGAAAAAACAATCAAAGATTTACAGGAATAAAATTTGAGTTGTGCAGAAACCCATCCCATCTCGCTATACTGTTGGGCAAAATATGTTCTAAAAATTAATACCATACAGCATCTGCTGCACATCACTTTAAATTAAATTTCTTCAGGGGTAAGAAATTTAAGCAGCATTAAATTGCATACAAGCCAGGAGTTCTCAAACTTTTTTTTGCTGGGACCCCCTTTGAAAATATTTCAGGCTGACAACCTCTGCTCCCATACCATCCCATTCTTACTTCTGCGCTGCTGCTGGCAGCAGTGCTGTCTTCAGAGTTGGGTGCCCAGCCAGCAGCTGCCATTCTCATGACCCCCCTACAATCGTCTTTGGTTCAGGACCCCCCGGGGGGGAAACGCTGAGATAAACTACCCAGTCAACTGCTAATTCCTCTCACAGGGACCTAGGTCCAAATTCATTCCTGTATTAACTGTTGTGAAATCAGTGGAATAATATCAAGGACTAAATTGGCCCTGAATGCCTAACTTACTCTGCCATTCATTTCCTCTCCCACATTTTCCATATAAACCACTTCACTGTATTTCTTCCAGGACCTAAAAGCATTGACAGAAATCTAGTTCTATTTAAGACGTAGTTATTAGAACACTGGTTTAACAATATAAGAAGATATTTAAATTAAAAGAAGCCAAATTTTAAAATTATGTCTAAAATATTTAGAGATTAGGAACTCACATGGAAACTGCTCCTCACAGATGGGAGCAGTCACTCAGTCAGCATTCCCACTTTAGGTCAATAGAAGTTTCACTTGAGTAAGGACTGTTGGATTAATAGGGATTTGATAGCTGCTTTCAACTACTTGAAAGAGGGTTCCAAAGAGGATGGATCTAGACTGTTCTCAGTGGTAGCAGATGACAGAACAAGGAGTCTCAAGTTGCAGTGGGGGAGGTTTAGGTTGGATATTAGGAAAACTTTTTCACTAGGAGGATGAAAGAAAAGGAGGATGGTGAAGCACTGGAATGGGTTACCTAGGGAGGTGGTGGAATCTCCTTCCTTAGAGGTTTTTAAGGCCTGGTTTGACAAAGCCCTGGCTGGGATGATTTAGTTGGGGATTGGTCCTGCTTTGAGCAGGGGGTTGGACTAGATGACCTCCTGAGGTCCCTTCCAACCCTGATATTCTATGATTAGGCCCTAACTGTAATAATGTTAATTCTATTTTCTTCCCACACTCTTTTTAAACTATGTTTAACCACTTCCTTCCAGTACAACCCTGAAAAGCACCATTTGGTACCATATCCCTACAGTACAACCCAGTCTCAAACTGCAGGCACCATTCCCAAGTGGGATCACAAAACCTAGGACCCAGCCTTTGAAGCTTAGCAACTGCTGCTCACAAGCAGCAATAGTGTTAACAATACCAACCCACCCCACACAGCAGTGATTTCCAAACTTTTGAAAGCTGAGTCCCCACTTCAGGAAAATGAAACCAATCATACCCCTTGCACCCTGGCAGATGTGTTTTAACTTACACAACTTCTGTGCACTCTCCCACCTATGGCTAGTATTTCATGCACATTCCCCCTCACTTTGAGAAACACTAATATAGTGTAATTCATTATGTGATGCTTACACTTCAGAGCTGCTGTTTCAGGCTCTCTGCAAACTCAGGCAGATGCTTCTGCATTGTTTACACCAATCTCATACTTTGAAAGTTTTCTTTGCAACCATAATAGCTAAAGAAGTGCTTTTTTCAAAATGAAAGCAGAGACTCAAGAGAACAACTGAGAGATCTGTCTGTGCCCCCTGGATAGTCCTTTGCACTTACCCCTAAAGGAACGGGAAATAACCCACTGTATGGAAAACACTATCCCACAGAATGTTAGTGCATTTCCTCTACAGACCAAGATTTGGAGACAAATTCTCACATAAAACCTTCTAGAGCTAGCTCCAAACCACTGAATCATTTTTAAGAGATTTCTTAAGGCAGTGAACAGTAAATGAAAACCTCTAAAGCATTAGCTTTAAAGAGAGATACTAGCATCCAGAATGTGTAGTGTGGGTATTTCACCATCTCATGCCACTAACAGATATAAATGAAGCCTGAAAAATATAAAGAAATGAAAAGTAAATGCCAGTCTTACAAATCAAATCAGCATGGGAAATTAAACACTGCACGTACCTCTGGCAAAATGAACTGTTCTACAGGTTTGTACCACAATCTGTTAACTTGCACTCCACAGCTAGGTGGGCTAAAGCGAGCACTGAAGAGAGCTTCCTGTATGCAAAATAAAGAAAGGAAAACAAAAATAAGAAACTTACATTCTTAAATCACAAGGGCTGTAAAAACAATGCTAGCCTACATTATCTTAATTGGTTCACAATAGAAAGGACAAACCTCTTAAAGCAACCCCTAACATTTTTTGTTTTAAACAATGTTGTTAGCTATTTTTCATGCAGAAATAGCCCTTAAAACCAAACAGTATTTTGTTTTGAATTTCCCCCCCCCCCCATATATTCACACTCATATATGGGCTCATGAGAAGTGCTGAATTGACAACCCTGCAGAAGGTACTCCCTGCAGCCCCCAGCCGTTGTGGGCACCGGCAGGACCCTACAGCTCCCAGCCGCCTGCGGGCTGAAATCATGAAGGTCTTTGGAAGTCACAGATTTCATGACTTCCGCGATCTCCATGACAAAAATCATAGCCTTAGTTTTAGGATGCATTTGATCTAAACCTATGAGAAATTCACAGTTCATAAAATCTACCCGTCGTCATAGATAGAGTTTAGGAAGTCTTTATACCACCAGACTATACCAGCATTATTAGAATCCACTGAGAAGAAAAAGGTAACCTTTAAAAGATGGCAGGCCAATGGCTTGTGCAGTGATCAGATGGCGTATATGCAGGGGAAAAAAGGAGGCCAAAAGAAGTGTTGCAACAACTACAGATCTGGCCTGTGATGAGCTATATAACTACTAGGAAGATATGAAGGAGAAAAGACCAGCTGGAAACTTGCTAAGGCAAGAGAAGAAAATGACGAAAGATGTGAACGAGTTTGCTTATATTAGAAATGAGCAATTAGCAAAGTCTGAAGTAATTATTTTGAAGAAGGAAAAACAAAAAGATGAATGAGGAGGACCCAAGAGAGGAACTCACAACATTTAGGCTGAACCAGGGCATGACAGGTTGCAGGAGGAAGAGATTAGACAAGCATTAGGAAAATTAGAAAGGAAAAAGCACCCGGGCTTGATAAAGTACCAGTGGATGCACTGAAGTCGATGGGAAGGGAAGGCGTCATGTATTTTACAAGTCTGTTCAACAATATTCTTAAGAAAGAGAAAATGTCAGATGAATGATGTCAGTGCTTTGTGCTGCCCATTTTTAAACAGAAAGGAGATATTACACTGTATACTAATCATCATCCAATGAAGCTGATGCACATGCTATGAAAGCATAGAAGATTACTGAAAAGTAACTGCCTGGAATAGTTGAAATTTGGAAGGGTCAGTATGGATTTATGCTGGGAAGGAGTATCACTGATGCCATATTTTTGCTGTATGAATCTTCCTGGGGAAGTTCAGAGAAAAGATAAAGCTACTGGGTATAGCCTTTGTGGTCTTGGAGAAGGAATTTGCTCATGTACCAAGAGAATTAGTTTGGTGGAGTACGAGATAGCAAGGTGTGCCAGAAGGATAGGTCCATTTTCTCCAGGATGTGTATGACAGAGTGACTACTGTAGTCAAAGCCAAATGGGGCTACCCAACAGAAATTTTTTAGTAAATATGTCCTGTATCAGGGGTCAGCATTGAGCCCTTTTTTGTTTGCGGCTGTCATGGATGTGACAAGTGATAATATACAAAGGGACCTGCCTCAGAATATGCTGTTCCTGGATGGCTTAGTGATATGTGCGGAAGATTGTGACACCCTACAAACGAAGGGTGGCAACACAGTTAGGAGCAGGCAGGACATAGAACATTGGTAAAGACTGAGGTTTTGATCAATGAAGGAGGACCACCAACCATAAAGGATATTACAGGCAGAGATCTTAGAAGAGTGAAAGACTTTAAATACCTAGAACCAATGAATGGTTGCTGGTAGTGGTGGCCTCCTAAATGATGCCCAGCATAGTACTAGAGCTGCTTGGTGCAAATGGCAGGAGCTGACCCAAGTTCTCTGTGATAAAAAGATACCAATAAAGTTAAAAGGTAGAGTGTATAAAACTGTAATTTGACCCATCCTAATGTACCGAACAGAGACTTGACCAGCCACAAGAAATCAGTATGCTCTCCACTAGAGAAATAAAGAGGTTGAGATAGTTAAATGGTTGGAGACTCCATGGTAGGAAACAAAATAAGGTTAAGAGGGCCTAATGTTGGTTGCCCATCTGAAGACAAGTTGAGGGAGGCTAGGCTACTTTGGTATGGGTTATATTGGTAGGATGGCCCTTGAAATGACCACGGACAGAAGACAACCAAGGAGGAGGGCAAAGACTCGATGAAAGGACCAGATATCAGAGGACCTTAGAGAGACCAATTTACATGACAGAGAGGCATACAATCATGGGTTTTGGAAGAAGGCTATAAAAGCTGCCGACCCAGAACAAGGAAGTGGAAATAAAGATGATGACAATGACTACAGATGGCCTAAAGTTTTGAGTCCATAACAGAGCTGGAAAACTACATAGAGATAACTACACTGGTTATGTGCTAAATGATAACAGTGTGCAACAACTTCTAGATGTCTAGCTAGAGAGTGGATCAGACTATAGAACAAGAATTACTAGCTTAACTGTATTTCCTTACTTTCAAACATTCAAAGAGTGGTGGTTTTTGTTTGAATACATATAAGTCTTTAAGTTATCGATAAACTTGTATAACCTTAATTTCAACTAAAATTGTTTTGTCTTGGAATTACAAGGAACATTTAATTAAGAAGCATTTCTATTAACCCACACATTACTAATCTAAAGAAGTAGTCTACAGTTATACAGAAAAAATAATATTTTAATATTAAAAGTTTGTAAACCCCCGTTTTTCACATTCTACAGATGACAAATGTGAAATAGGAAAGATGTATAGTTATTCAGCAGACAGTTCTTAGGAGTGCAGTAGGAAAGAAAACTCTTATTAGTGTATGATAGGTGAAATCATTAATTTGCTAGGTCATTAACACATACATCTCATTCTGCAGGCATTCAATCCACGATAGAAAGAAAAAATGTGCTTCAGTCCTCTTTGGTAAGATAACTATAATACTGTACCTCCTGTTCTGCCTGGTACAGTTTTACAGTGATATTCCTCTGGAATCCCACACCATCAGCATCATAAAATACCCCAAGACTAGTAATGACGATGGGGTAAAGAACTCGGAAGTTCACACTGACAATGCGGTCTTCAGAAAGCACTGAAGGCGTATCTTCAGGGAGATTGAATGCTTCGATTTCTTGATTCAAAACTGTATTTTAAAAAAGGAACAAGGATTATACTTGCAATGTGAGTAGATTTATCATTCTGGAATTATGTATACATGGGAATGTCTGATGAATAATTAGCATGGCTGGCAAAGCACACAAAGGTAATCAAATTCCAGAGGAAAGATGACTGACTGCATACAGCTGTAAGGAGATGTTTAGAATGATTTAGTAGCCTGCTGGTTATCAGCAACTGTAAGTCAGTGCTTGAGCATGTACAGAGAACTGAACGGAAGCACGCACACACACACACTTATATATAACACCGTGCTCTATTTAACAAGAACAGCTGTTTTATTCCATCTCCTTCAGGAATCTGATTTATCGTTTGGAGGCTGAATGGCAACGACTGCTGCTTAACTGGAACTAAATTAGCAGAAGTGGCATTTAAAGTGACTCATTCCAAAAAGGCCAAGTGCATTTTACCAGGAGTTAGAATCATAGTTGTGAAATTCTAATACAATAGTTGCAAAGTAAATATTCAACGGAGGAAAAATGAAAGGCAGGAAATATAATTTTAGTTATGTATTTTATTGAGGACAGTGTTTCATTTCAAGTATTTTCTGACACTTATACTTTAAACAATTGCCTCTTCTCCTAAGGACAGATTCCGCAAACACTATCAGATGTAGTATTCGCTTCAGTAGAAGTGGCCTCACATGGTCTTGTGGCCAAGACACTGGACCTGGACTATCTGGGTTAAGTTCTCAGTTCTAAAGCAACACAGACTTGTGCAAACTTGAACAAGTCATTTAATGCTCTCTGACTTAGTTCCCCATCTGCGAGGTGGGAACAATAGCCCCACGTGACAGAGATATTGAAAAGATAAATTAATTGGGGGAGATTTTCCAAGGGACAAAAAGGATGTCCAACTCCAATGAAAGTCAATGGTCTGCCCTTTGTGCCTTGGAAAATCTCCCCCATTAATGTCTGCATATGGGGCTCAGAGGTGGGCTATATAAGTGCCTACTTAGAGAGTAAGCTCTAAGTCCAGTAGTATTTGCAGGATTGGGCCCTTAACTGGGACAGCCACTAAACCATCCGTGTGTCGCAACAAAGAGGATTCTGTTTAATATGATATAATAGTTTAAAAGATTATCATTCATACCTGGGTTAGTAATGTTCAGAAGTTTGCAGGAGTAAGGATCTTCTCTGTCCTCCACTGGCACACCACAGCCATGTGCACCTATTATAAACTTCACAAGGACACTAAAATAATTTGTTTTTATTAACACCTGTAATTTATTTTCATCTTCAACATGCTAATTTCAATGCAAAGACCTGTCCTTCCATAGTTTGAGCTTTCTGATTACCTTAAAACATTAGTCACAAAGTCTTTTAATACTGATTTTGTTTATTTGGAGTTTGACAGAAGAATAAATATTGTTTAAAACTGAACTTGGCTCATAAGAACATTGTGCTTAGACATCTTGACCATCTATTCTTGACCATCTATTTATTTTAGTGAGTTAGCTGCACAAATCTCCGATGAAACACTGTATTGATACACACAGACAGCCAAGTGCTGTCATTTTAAAAGAATTAATAGTTCATTTTAAAAGATAGTTAACTAAGAAACTATTCACATCAGGCAGAATGAGGAATTTCCTGTTATCAGTTGTTTTATTTCTCATTTTATTAAATAATGGGACATATCTGCAAGTTCTGTAACTATTACAGCATCCATCTCAATTTAGACATTCCAATTGTTAGGAAGTAGCAATTCAATACGGAAAACAGAAACCTACTTTAATGCAATTTTAAGGTTGAGAGATCAATTCCAAAAGAGAAGGGAAATTCAAAATTTGTAGTTCCCTCAGCAAACATGATCCTGCCTGTGCTCAAGTATTCTCTGCTAAATAGTATGCCACACTGAGTGGTCATGTAACGTACACATCTCTGCAATGAAGCATAAGGTAAATTTGCTGTGGAAACCATGACTGCATTTCCTGATTTTGATGTGATTAAAACCTGACCCATGATGAAGCATTAACATTGAATGTTGGTAATTTCCTCCTCTGACTCAAGATAAAACTCGCAAACACTGTATGAAACTTTAATAAGGGCTCAATCCTGAAAGGTGCCAAAGAGCATCTGTTCCTAGAGACACACAACTTCAGGACTTATGATTTAAAGTCCCCCCAGCCTCTGTTTGTATGTGAATGATCACAGCAAACATGGAAAGTGTGGTTATTTGGCTGTATACGCCTTCAAAAACACTGCATTTCAATTAATGCACCATCAGAAACAGCCTTTTTATGAACAGAGGGTGGTACTTTGGTGCAGCTATACACAGTCAACAAAATAGCTTTGCTGCACATGCTCAGCAATACATTTTGACCATTGTTGTATCTTGCTACCAAATTTCTCCTGACATCAAAACAGAACTACGGTTACATGCTTGCCAATTACTACTACACGGTAAAATAAATCCACGTGTATCATTCAACTACACAGAGCAACCCTGTGAGCATTTCTTAATGGATGAAAAACGCTCTTGCACACATTCAAATAACAAATTTTAATCACATTCAAAAAATTAATTTCAATCCAGAGTGCCTATTATTTTTATAAAACGTTAAGGGAGAGTTAAGAATGAAAGTGCCCTGTCAGCCATAATAAAAGGTGTTTACCAGCATGAACCTATCTTTATTTTTTCCAAAATAAAGAATAAAAAACAAACAACATTTACTCATTTGATTCCTAGCTTCTCACCCAGCCCAAGCAATATAAATTATTTATAAAAGGTTTACCGAGGGCTCAGCGCTGGATGTTGTTTCAAGTGCTTGAACCAAGTGTTCCTTATAACGTTCCGCAGCTCATGATTGTGTCGAGCGGATAATACACCGACGATAACATCGTAACGTTTCAGTTCCCACTGAGGAAAGAAAGCCAGTGGACCTAAGAGTTTAAAACAACAACTATTTATTACAGAAACATAAACCCAAATGTCTGAGCTGTAAACGTTAATTAAAAAACGCATCAGAAGTAAGTGTATTAAGCGTCCTGAGCATTAAAAAACAGAAACAGCATTTGTGTCACGTTGTTCGTCAAAAGCCTGGAAGATGCTTTCAACATGCCACAACTACCATTACAGAGCTGTGAAATTATTACAGGAGAGAACAGAGAAAATGACTGCTGGTAAACTAAAGTAACCAAGTGCATGACACCTTCAAAGCTAACGAAAGAAAACCCCTCTGGAGGTTGAATGATGGGATAGCCAATTATGCGTGCGTGTGGCTGCCTTCTGAGCAAGCTGCTCCGTGAGAGCACATCACAGCTGTTCTCCACATTTTGCATTGGCTATCAGAAACCTTCTGGGTGAAATTCAAGGTGCTGCTTACAATCTGCAAAATCCTAAATAGCCTGGCCTCAGCTGCCTCATGGACAGCCTTTCCTTCTCTGACCTACCACAAAACCCGGGGCCTAGTCATTCTTGACATCGGGCTTTTGCCACTAGACTATATCCACTTAAGCTGAGTGCGGTCACAGAGAGTGTTAAGAGACATGTCTTTGTCCATGCTGGCTCAGTTTCCACTGCCATTTAGTTTATTGGCAGGGCCTTCCTAATCTCTGCCCTTGTAAAGTTGTGAGAGTGGGAAAAAGGGTTGGGGACAGGGGTATTATCTCCCTATAGAAGGTAAATGTTTTCGCCTTGCTCAGTTGTGGGCATGAGTCTTCCCCAGATATACCAGCAATGGACTTCATCATAAATGCTAGTAATAAATAACATTTAGATCTTGCTAAGCATTGTTTCTAAAATTTAGAGATTATAAAAATGGTACTTCCTTTAAAGTGAGATTCTGACTAAAGAGAAACCTGAGAAGTATGGCTAGGAGCCCACAACCAATCAGACAGACCGCTAATATGGATCTGCGTGGTTTTGTTCATCAGCCATTCTAAAGCCAAAAGAGAGAGGTTTATATTTAGCAGGGGTGAGGGATCACTTCCATCTCACTCTCCTTAATTTGAGACCTAAGCCAAACAGTTAAAAATGAGTGAGTGCCAGAGTTCTTTAACACAGCTACTGCAAACAATACAGACAAGGTCATGTTAGACGTCTAATTTTAGGGTGTCTAAAAATATCTGCAAGTTACCCATTATAACCAGATGATACAATGTTATGTTCCAGACTTCTATCCACTACACCAGTGCCCTCATTAAACACTGAGAAGGAAACGTGTGTCGTGGTGACTGGACATGTGTGACCTGGGACTGAATTGGAAGAGAAGTAAAATATAATTTCTGAAAATCCTACGTCCATTGTGTCTCTGTAACAGACATTTTGCAGGAAAGGCACACAATATTAGGTTTTAAAGATAATTTACTTCTGCAAGCTGTTTAAACATGGATGTTTCAGCACACTTTCAATCTTCACATACTATAGGTAGAAAGTTAAGATATTAGTTTAATTAAAAGAATTTATATAACCTAGGAACTAACTCTGAAGGACCCAAAAAAATCTCTCAAAACATTTTCTTTCTACACAGACTAGCATTTCTTTTCTTCCTCAGAAACCTGCATGTTTTCACTAAAGCCGATAGTTACGGCTCTTGTAACAAATAAACATACATGGCAGTTTTGACAGATTTCAGGAGTGAGATTTGTTTGCTGCATATAAGTGTGTATAACTGCTCTATCTAAGTAATGCCTGGCAAGTGTTAGAGGAGAGAATTCCCAGCTCAAGTCAGACAATCTTTCATCAGAATACTATTTGGTTTTCTCTTATATAGGTAAATGCTGATTATCTGGAGGTTTTAGATGTCCCCATTGACATTTATACAATTAGAGTTTGCCAGTACTCCCTATTAGCTGGTATCTGTAAAACAGCCATATGTCTGGTGGGACTGCAATATCAGAAGTAGCTCACACGTCCTCTTGTAATTCCTCCTCTTCCCCCTTCTCCTCACATATACCGTCTCTTGCCTGCGTCTGCTCTATTTATTTCATTATGTTTTATATATCCTTGGCACTCTCTTTGTTTTGGTTACAGAGAGGCAAATATTAATTTAGCTTAAATCAATTTCTCTGAATTTAAGATAAACCAAAACAGGCCACTCAAACCAAAATAAGAGTGTCTACACAGGGTTTTGCACTGATTAAACTAAATTAGTTTTAAAACTGGTGAAACTCTCTCATGTGGATACAATCCCTTAACAAAGCACTTCATAGAGGCAGTCAGAGAGAGAGCCTTCAGAATTAACCTGGTTGAGATTAGAGGTAGCAGGTCCCTTCTCTTTTGTTTCACGCTGTCCGTAGATTTAGTAAAACAGCACCACATCAGTACTTTCAGAAAGTTGCCTTCTCAGTCATAAGAGATAGTCACTTTTTAAAAAATGAAAACAAATTTTGCTGAAATTGATGAATAAGTCCCCTGTTTGCCTGGCAAGGCTTCTTATTTATTACTGGTAAATGGGAAAGAGCATTTATTAAGCTCTAATGGAAAGGGTAACAGTTTGTCTTTAAACTAATATAAAGAAGAGATAAAGCTAAAGGTACAGAAAAAGATATTAACCTATGATGAACCATTCAGGAAGCAAGAGCATTGTATACATGTGATCTGCAGTAAAAGTTCAGAGAAAACTATTAGTGACTTCTGAGTCAATCATTTTATATTTAACTCAGAAATGAACAAACTTACTGCATCATCATTCAACTGTTTCCACACATTCACAAGCTAGAGTTTTCTTTATGCATGTAACAGCAGCCTCCGATGTTGTCTCTATTATTGTTTATCTTATTAATTACTCATAATATGCTATTCTTACCTTATACTGATTATGTAACTATCTGTTTACAACTTGCAGTTTCTAAAAAGCTTAAACACAAGAAATGAATCATTGTGGTTTGAGGGCAGGGCTGCAAGCCAGACCTCTGGAGTTCTAATTCTGGCTGTGTTACGGACTCGCTGTGCCCCTGAGCAAGGCACTCTCTGTTGCTCAGTTTTCCCCAGGAGAAAATACTCACCCATCTTACAGGAGGAGTGTGAATACCAATTAGTTAATGACCATGAAATGCTCCGAAGATGTAAAGAACAATATAAAAGCATAAAATATTATAGTAACTGTAGATAGTGGGAGTGGGCTAAGAAGAAAGGAACATTTTTTGGTACGTTGGTCACAGAGTCATTAAAAATCAAGATTCAGAACTCTCCTAAGACTGACTCTCTCAGACACATTATGGAGCCTTAGGCTTCTCAGTGAATCTTTGCAAGTCTCCCCCTCTCCTCCCCCACTGCAATTCCCATGCTACATTCTTTTGGCACAAAATACTTACTTTCCCTTTGCTCTTTTGCCTAACCCCATTAACTCATGGCAATAAGTGCAGTAAAATAAAACAGGCAGCTGCACTCACAGCTGCTAATCTGTGTTATATAGCTGCCATCCAGAGAACCTCTTGTAAAAATGTGTACCGCTGAGCTGAGTCAGGACACCACAGTAAGGGTTACATACTGGAAGGCAGTATATTGGCCCCAACCAGATTTCAACAACCTCCATCATAAATAGATTTTACTACTACTTTCTTTCGGAGACTATATGCCTCCTATTCACAGTGTCACACTCAGTGGCCAAATACATATTTACTGGCATTATCACCGGGGAAAGGATAAAAGATTCCAGTGCTAGTTAGACTCATAGACTTTAAGGTCAGAAGGGAACATTATGATTGTTTAGTTTGACCTCCTGCACAATGCAGGTCATAGAATCTCCCCCACCCACTCCTGTAACAAATCCCTAACCTATGTCTGAGCTACTGAAGTCCTCAAATTGTGGTTTAAAGACTTCAAGGTGCAGAGAATCCTCCAGCAAGTGACCCATGCCCCACGTTGCAGAGGAAGGCAAAAAACCCCCAGGGCCTCTGCCAATCTGCCCTGGATGAAAATTCCTTCCCGACCCCAAATATGGCGATCAGCTAAACCCTGAGCATGTGGGCAAGACTCACCAGCCAGACACCCAGGAAAGAATTCTCTGTAATAACTCAGATCCCACTCCATCTAACATCCCATTACAGGCCACTGGGCATATTTACCACTAATAGTCAAACATCAATAAATTGCCAGAATTAGGCTATCCCATCATACCATCTCCTCCATAAACTTATCAAGCTTAGTCTTGAAGCCAGATATGTTTTTTGCTCCCACTGCTCCCCTTGGAAGGCTGTTCCAGAACTTCACTCCTCTGATGGTTAGAAAACTTCATCTAATTTCAAGTCTAAACTTCCTGGTGGCCAGTTTATCTCCATTTGTTCTTGTGTCCACATTGGTACTGAGCTTAAATAATTCCTCTCCCTCCCTGGTATTTATCCCTCTGATATATTTACAGAGAGAAATCATCTCCCCCCTCAGCCTTCTTTTGGTTAGCCTAAACAAGCCAAGCTCTTTGAGTCTTTCATAAGACAGGTTTTCCATTCCTCGAATCATCCTAGTAGCCCTTCTCTGTCCTTGTCCCAGTTTGAATTCACCCTTCCTAAACATGGGAGACCAGAACTGCACACAATATTCCAGATGAGGTCTCATCAGTGCCTTGTATAATGGTCCTTATCTCTACTGGAAATATCTTGCCTCATACATCCCAAGACCGCATTAGCTTTTTCCACGGCCATATCACATTGGTGGCTCATAGTCATCCTGTGATCAACCAATACTCTGAGGTCCTTCTCCTCCTCTGTTACTTCCAAGTGATGCGTCCCCAGTTTATAACATTTTTTGTTATTAATCCCTAAATGCATGATCTTGCACTTTTCACTATTAAATTTCATCCTATTACTATTACTCCAGTTTACAAGGTCACCCAGATCTTCCTGTATGATAGCCCGGTCCTTCTCTGTATTGGCAATACCTCCCAGTTTTTCTGTCATCTGCAAGCTTTATTAGCACATTCCCACTTTTTGTGCCAAGGTCA